CAGTGAATTATCCAAAAGAATGAATATCTAATGGTGAAACCTGAGAGGCCTCAAGTTATACTATGATTTGTGTCCTCTCAAAGTGGGTTTTCTGTGATGGTCGATGCTTAAAGATCCCAGAGGCAAATTGTGAAGTTGGCCACAACTGACAAACTCACAAAGCCAAATACGAACTGAAGAAACCTGCTCTGGCTGTTGAGTTCCTCATTTATTTCTCCTTGTGACCCAGCCTCAAAACTACATCAGTTCAGGAGTAGTATACCTCTTGGCACTTAATAGACACTAAATATATATTTGTTGAATAAATTGTGGAGTAACTAAGACTGATTGAATGAATAAAAATTAATAAATTGAAGACATTTTAAACCTCCACCTTTCTTATAACTTCCATTCTCTCTGTCTCTCTCTTTCCCACTCCCTCTGCCTTGATTCAGGCCCACATCACTGCTACCTTGGTTGTTTTCTCCAGCCTCCTAACCAATCACCCTTTTTCTAGTCCTGGGTAGTTCCCAGCCTATCAATACTTCCCCAGTCTGTCAGCAAGATCATGTAATTCCTCTGTTCCAAAACCTTCAGTGGCTCCCCGTGGCTCCGGAGAAAAATTCTAAGTTCTTACAAGGCATGCAGACTGGGCACTGTTTGCTCTTTTTAGGTCTCTCTCTTCCGTCTGTCCTCTTTCAGGGAACTCTTTTTTTTTTTAACCTTATTGAGAATATTTAATAGAGCTGCATAAAATCTATGGGCCAATTCTTCTCAACTTGATATTTTTATGATATTGAATATTCCTGCCCATGAGTGCAATCTATTTCTTTATGTATCTATATCCTCTTCAATGTTTTCCTTCTTTTAATTGAAGTAGTGTTGGTTTACCATGTTGTGTTAGTTTTAGGTATATGGCACAGTGATTAAGTTATACATACATATATTCTTTTTCAGATTCTCTTCCCTTATAGCTTATCACAAAACATTGAGCATAGTTCCCTGCACTATGCAGGAGGTCCTTGTTGAGTACCTATTTTATATATAGTAGTGTGTTTATATTAATCGGAACTCTTAATTTAGCCCTTCCCTCTTTGATAATCGTAAGTTTTCTAGATATGTGAGTCTGTTTCTGTTTTGTAAATTAGTTCATTTGTATCTTTTTTTTAAGGGTCCATATATAAGCTGTATCATGATACTTGTCTGTCTCTGTCTGACTTACTTCACTTATTATGATAACCTCTAGGCCATCCATGTTGCTGCAAATGGCATTATTTCATTCTTTTTTACAGCTGAGTAGTATTCCACTGTGTGTGTGTGCGTGTGTGTGTGTGTGTGACATCTTTCTCCATTTATCCCCATAAATGGAGAACATGTAGATTGCTTCCATTTCTTATCTATTGTAAATAGCGTTGCAATGAACCCAGGGTACTCTTTAAAATTGCAACTATGTTTGAGAAAAACAAGAATAAGCTCCTTTCCCCTCTGTTTGTTCAATGTGATTAGACCATCAAAGTACTAAGCATCTTAGGGTAAAGAAGAGCTGAAAGGGTGAGGGAATGGGCAATAAGGACAAAGCTTCATGATTAAGAGTTGGGCTCAGGAGTCACACAGAGCTGGGTTCAATCCAGGTTCTCTTTTTACTAGCTCTGCAACCTCAGGCTGATTACTGAGCCTCACATGGAATATCCAGGCACGTCAGTACATCACTAACAGGTCACAGGAGCAAGGAGATATTCACACATAGGTCAGTCAGACAGGCTGGGTTTGATATAGACAGAGAAGCTGATCAGAGACCTCTGAAGCGTGATTAAGCATCTTGGTTTCACTGAGACCAGAGGGCTTTCCAAGACAAGAGACCTTTAGTTTTAAAAATGGGAAATTCTTGTGACATCCCTGGCAGTCCAGTGGTTAAGACTCCATGCTCCTGCTGTGGTACATATACACAATGGAATATTACTCAGCCATTAAAAAGAATACATTTGAATCAGTTCTAATGAGATGGATGAAACTGGAGCCCATTATACAGAGTGAAGTAAGCCAGAAAGATAAACATCAATACAGTATACTAATGCATATATATGGAATTTAGAAAGATGGTAACAATAACCCTATATGCAAGACAGAAAAAGAGACATAGATGTATAGAACAGACTTTTGGACTCTATGGGAGAAGGCGAGGGTGGGATGTTTTGAGAGAACAGCATCGAAACATGTATATTATCAAGTGTGAAACAGATCACCAGCCCAGGTTGGATGCATGAGATAAGTGCTCAGGGCTGGTGCGCTGGGAAGACCCAGAGGGATGGGATGGGGAGGGAGGTGGGAGGGGGGTTCAGGATGGGGAACACATGTAAATCCATGGCTGATTCATGTCAATGTATGGCAAAAACCACTACAATATTGTAAAGTAATTAGCCTCCAACTAATAAAAATGAATGAAAAAAAAAAAAGACTCCATGCTCCCAATGTAGGGGACACGGGTTTCATCCCTGGTTGGGGAATTAAGATCCCACAAGCTGTGCAGTCAAAAAACCCAGAAAGTCCTGGGCAAACTGGGATGAGTGCCCCTTTAGCTCCTACACCTCTGGTGCCTGCCAGCCCCATGTGTTTAGCTCAGCATGCCACACAAGCCCTATTTTCTTCATATGTCTACAACATAAAAGCAGGTTGGGAAGCTGTTTCCTCAACTGTAAAACGGGGATGACAACAGAGCTTACCTCACTTGGTTGTTGTGAAGATGAAGTGACTAAAGCAGGATATTTGATCCTGCCTTCCCAATCCAGAGGCACACCCAGGTCCTATGTCTTTCCCAATCTAATGCCTTTTGGGGCGCCAAGGCATTTAAAAAAACTACCCACAATGTATTTGTCAGCATAATAAATGTAAGGTACAGCAACATGCTCTGTTAAACTGGAAAAATAAATGTTAACTCCTAGCTTGAAGAGAGAAATGTTTCCATTCATGAGTGACTACTAAGAAGGCTCTAACAGCAGGGTCCTTCTGTATCCTTCTCCATGCAAAGGAGGAGAACTGAGTCTGTGTTGGGAAAAGAAAAAAGTCAGACTGGATGAGGTGGAATGTCCTCCTGCTGCCAGAACACCAGAAGGTTTAAAGGAGCATCAGCAGCGCTGGTATGTCTAAGGCACCAACCTCTAATTGGCCAAGGTGTGACAACTGCAGCATTAATAATAACATGATAATTATTTTCCTATTGTTATTGTCACAATTATTGGAGCAAGTTGCATCTGTGAAAGGACATGAGTTCATGTTGTTGTTTAGTCGTTAAGTCGTGTACAACTTTACAACCCCATGGACTGCAGCACGCTAAGCTTCCCTTCACTGTCTTCCAGAGTTTGTTCAAAATCATGTCCATTGAGTCGCTGATGCCATCCCACCATCTCATCCTCTGTTGCCCCCTTCCCCTCCTGCCCTTAGTCTTTCCCATCATCAGGGTCTTTCCCAATGAGTCAGCTCTTCCCATCAGGTGGCCAAAGTATTGGAGCTCCAGCTTCAGCATCAGTCCTTCTAAAGGATACGCAGGGTTGATTTTCTTTAAGATTGACTGGTTTGATCTCCTTGCAGTTGAAGGGACTCTCAAAAGTCTTCTCAAACACCACAATTTGAAAGCATCAATTCTTCAGCGTTCAGCCTTCTTTATGGTCCAACTCTCACATCCATACATGACTAATGGAAAAACCATACCTTTGATTATATGGATCTTTGTAGGCAAAGTGATGTTTCTGCTTTTTAATATAGCTGTCTAGATTTGTTACAGCTTTCCTTCCAAGGAGTGTCTTTTAATTTCATGGCTGCAGTCACTGCAGTGATTTTGGAGCCCAAGAAAAGAAAATCTACCACTGTTTCCACGTTCCCTCCTTTTATTTGCCGTGAAGTGATGGAATTATATGCCATAATCTTAGTTTTTTGAATGTTGAATTTTTAAGCCAGCTTTTTCACTCTCGTCTTTCATCCTCATCAAGAGGCTCTTTAGTTCCTCTTTCCAAGGAGAAAAAGAGCACAAAAAGTTAGTTAAAACACACAAGAATGGTGACTAGTACAGGATATGTTTAATTTTTTTTCTTTCATAAGAAGAATTAACACATGCTTAAAAGAAGCATTAACTAAATGCCTATTTATAAAATATACATAAGTACTGTTCCCACTTGGGTATAGAAGAAATTCACTGACCTGTGAGGAGTCAAATAGCCCCAAACAATGGGAATTGTGTGAAGAAGAAGATAGGCTGACAGGCTGGATTGCTCACACACAATAATCAAGAAGGGACTCCAAGAGCTAATTAGTCAACCATCTTAGAGTCCTGCTAACCCGAAACACTCTATTCCTCCTCCTCTCAGAAGTGAAGACTTCAGGTGGCCCTACTAATATCACAAAATAATATATCAGTAGGAATACATGACTTGCAAAAATACCCATCAATGTATCAAACAGGACATGTGTGCATGCATGTTCGCTCAGCGGTGTCCAACTCTTTGCAAACCTATGGACTGTAGCCTGCCAGGTTCCTCTATCCATGGAATTTTCCAGGCAAAAATACTGGAGTGGGTTGCCATTTCCTCCTGCAGGGGATCTTCCCAACCCAGGAACTGAACCCATGTCCCCTGCATCTCCTGCTTTGGCAGGCAGATTCTTTACCACTGAGCCACGTGGGAAGTCCATGAGACATGGCCGGCAGTTTATATAAGGCCACCCAAGTGAGACTGAAAGCTCATGACTCTGAGGGACAATATCACATTACAATCAATGAAAACCTAAGAGAAAGGTATGATTTTAAAACTCTTATAGACATTATAAAAAGGGAGCTCAGCTTGATCATCAGTGGCCTGGTGACAATCCCCTTGGACCACACAAGCAAATCTTTTTTTTTTTTTTTTTTTGTCCACAGTATTTGTTAACTGTTTATTTATTGAGAGACTTTCTCACCCCAGAGAGTCATAGTTTCATAGTTCAGGAACACAGGAAAGTGACAAACTTCCATGGAACTCAACCCAAGAAATCCTTTATATTCCAAATAACTTTGCACTCTGAAAAATACCAGCCTTCCTCATCTCCTCAAAATCTTTCATGGAATCATAATTCCTGTAGAAATCTGCATATGCCTTCTTTCTTCGTTCAGCCACAGCAAACTTATAGAAAGTTGCAAACCCCAGGGAGACCATGAACGCTCCAACAATATGAAATCGCAGACGTTTGGCCAGGAGGCCACGCATCTGAGGTTTTGCCAGAGCAGTGGACATGGTAGTTCTCCTTCTCGGCGGCTCAACCGCAACGTCCTTCTAGGCTGATGGAGAAATGGGCACAAGCAAATCTTAAGACTGACCAAGAATCAGTTGATTGAAGACCCAGATCTAATTACCTCAACTGGACTAAGATGACATTTCTTTTTCTTTCCAGTCTGATTGGATTTTTGAAAGCCCAGAAAGGAATACAAATAACATTACAGAAACCATAGGATGATAACAAAAGAAAGCAATGGTCCAAGAAAGTGGGGGGCAAGAAGCTCCAGATTTTGTGCGGCCCACAGCTGAAACAATTTGTGTGGCCCTACTTAAGAAAAAAAATGCATAATAAGTTATTAAAAAGGCATACAGGCAAAAGAATGGCCTTGGAAGAGGCCATGCAAGCAAACAGCACTGAAATTTAAACTTTATTACTTTCAGTTATCATTTTTGTTTCTGATCCACTCTTGAAAATATTTGAAGAATTCATAAGCATCAGCCAAACCAGCACTTTAATTGCAGTTTAAAATTTTAAGGAGGATTTCCCTGGTGGCAGAGTAGATAGGAATTTGTCTGCTAAGGCAGGTGACACAGGTTCAATCCCTGGTCCAGGAAGATTCCTCATGCCTTGGACTACTGAGCCCACTCTCTAGAGCTCAAGAGCCACACTACTGAAGCCTGCATGCCCTAGGGCCTGTGCTCTTAACAAGAGAAGCCATTGCAATCAGAAGCCCATGCACCCTGATGAAGAGCAGCCCCTGGCTCACCACAGCTAGAGGAAGCCCATGTGCAGCAATGAAGACCCAGTGCCACCAAAAATAAATAAATCAATAAATTCTTAAAAAGTATCCTGCAAGCTGAGTGGCACAGCCCACCAAAAAAACTACTTTAAAAATTTAAGAATAGTTAACTAAGTTTGTAAAAGATGATGCTGTGAAAATGCTACACTCAATATGCCAGCAAATTTGGAAAACTCAGCAGTGGCCACAGGACTGGAAAAGGTCAGTTTTCATTCCAATCCCAAAGAAAGGCAATGCCAACAAATGCTCAAATTACCTCACAATTGCACTCATCTCACACGCTGGTAAAGTAATGCTCAAAATTCTCCAAGCCAGGCTTCAGCAATATGTGAACCGTGAACTACCAGATGTTCAAGCTGGTTTTAGAAAAGGCAGAGGAACCAGACATCAAATTGCCAACATCCGCTGGATCATTGAAAAAGCAAGAGAGTTCCAGAAAAATATCTATTTCTGCTTTATTGACTATGCCAAAGCCTTTGACTGTGTGGATCACAACAAACTGTGGAAAATTCTGAAAGAGATGGGAATACCAGACCACCTGACCTGCCTCCTGAGAAACCTGTATGCAGGTCAGGAAGTAACAGTTAGAACTGGACATGGAACAACAGACTGGTTCCAAACAGGGAAAGGAGTACGTCAAGGCTGTATATTGTCACCCTGCTTATTTAACTTATATGCAGGGTGTGTGTGTGTGTTAGTCGCTCAGTCATGTCCGACTCTTTGCGACCCCACAGACTGTAACCTGCCAGGCTTCTCTGTCCATAGAATTCTCTAGGCAAGAATGCTGGAGTGGATTGCCATTCCCTTCTCCATATATGCAGGGTGAAAAGAAAGTGAAGTCTCTCAGTCGTGTCCGACTCTTTGTGACCCCATGGACTGTAGCCTACCAGACTCCTCCATCCATGGGATTTTCCAGGCAAGAATACTGGAGTGTTTGCCATTTCCTTCTCCAGGGGATCTTCCCGACCCAGGGATTAAACCCAGGTCTCCCATATTGCAGACAGACGCTTTACCCTGTAAGCCATGCTAGGTTGAACGAAGAATAAACTGGAACCGAGATTGCCAGGAGAAATATCAATAACCTCAGATATGCAGATGACACCACCCTTATGGCAGAAAGTGAAGAAGAACTAAAGAGCCTCTTGATGAAAGTGAAAGAGGAGAGTGAAAAAGTTGGCTTAAAGCTCAACATTCAGAAAACTAAGATCATGGCATCTGGTCCCATCACTTCATGGAAAATAGATGGGGAAACAGTGGAAATAGTGGCTGACTTTATTTTTGGGGGCTCCAAAATCACTGCAGATGGTGACTGAAGCCATGAAATTAAAAGACGTTTACTCCTTGGAAGGAAAGTTATGACCAACCTAGATGGCATATTAAAAAGCAGAGACATTACTTTGCCAACAAAGGTCCATCTAGTCAAGTCTATGGTTTTTCCAGTAGTCATGTATGGATGTGAGAGTTGGAGTATAAAGAAAGCTGAGTGCAGAAGAATTGATGCTTTTGAACTGTGGTGTCGGAGAAGACTCTTGAGAGTCCCTTGGACTGCAAGGAGATCCAACCGGTCCATCCTAGAGGAAATAAGCCTTGAATATTCATTGGAAGGACTGATGTTGAAGCTGAAACTCCAATACTTTGGCCACCTGATGCAAAGAGCTGACTCATTTGAAAAGACCCTGATGCTGGGAAAGACTGAAGGCAGGAGGAGGAGACAACGGAGGATGAGATAGTTGATGGCATCACTGACTCAATGGACATGGGTTTGAGCAAACTCCAGAGTTGGTGATGGACAGGGAGGCCTGGCATGCTGCAGTCCATGGGGTCGCAAAGAGTCAGACATGGCTGAGCGATTGAACTGAACTGAATCAATGTTTAAATACCAAAAAAGTTGACTTCAAGGTTTATGACCTATAAGACTTTAATAAACTGAGCATTAAACAAATGATTCCAAGTGTTCTGCTTCACTTATAAAAGCCTCTTTAATATGAAAATGAAACTGTTAGTGTCATTTCCAGGGCTCCGAAGAGCTCTGGTACCACAGTCCTCTATGTCTCAACACAGAAAGGAAGTCTGCAAGAGGCAAAGTGATAGACAAGAAGTGATTTGTTAGACCAGGATACTTGTAAGTTTCACAAGAGCTTCCCTGGTGGCTTAGACAGTAAAGAATCTGCCTGCAATGTGGGGACCTGGGTTTGATCTCTGGGTTGGGAAGATCCCCTGGAGAAGGGAAAGGCTACCCACTCTGGTATTCTTGCCTGGAGAATCCCCATGAACAGAGGAGCAGGCAGACAAGTGTTGCACTGCCCAGAGTACTCAGTGGGTTACATTTTTAAAATCAAAGGAAGAGAGGGAAAGGGGAGAAGATCTTTGTCTTTCTTAAGTAGACGTCAGGTTACCTTCATCAGTTCCTACCCCAAGTAAGGCCGGGAAGTTTTCTTGTCACTACATGGTCAGCCCAAGACTGTCATAACATTTTGGAAAAATATTTTCAGGTCTCATTACAATGAAGGTGTTTCATTTTGAAAGTTCACCTTTCCATAAATTCTTGTTTTTTGTGGGCATAGGGCATATTTTGGGAGTCATTAGCTTGATGACACCACTGGGCAGGTTGTAGGCCTTATTCTCTACTATAGTTTTATTGTTTGGGGGGCATTGTGCAAAGAACGCATCTTTGGGCCAAAGGGCATGTTTTGGAGCTTATTAACTTACTGAACTTACTGGGCAGGATGTAGGTCTCATGCTACCATTGTTGTATTGTTTGGGGGCATGTCTCGTGCTTCTGTTGCATGGTTTTGTCGCTAAGCAAAGTTAGCTTGATTTTATTGTTAAGCCAGCCAATCTGGCTTTGATGCCAAATGACTTGTTTTGTTTCATCAGTCAAGCAAGCCCACATTGTTTCAGAATATTCTCATTACTTTCTTGAGTGATCGTTAAAGTCTTATTGTGGTCTCCCAATCCCCTAAAGTTCCCTGTCTATCTACAATTCCCTAATGGGGTTTCTAGGCTAACTATTTGATTATCCTATGCTATTCCCACTTATTTATGCAGAGTACATCATGCAAAATGCTGGACTGGATGAAGCACTAGCTGGAATCAAGATTGCCAGGAGAAATATCATTAACATCAGATATGCAGATGACACCACCTTTATGGCAGAAAGCAAACAGTAACTGAAGAGACTCTTGATGAAGGTGAAAGAGGAGAATGAAAAAGCTGGCTTAAAACTCAACATTCAAAAATCAAAGATCATGGCATCCAGTCTCATCACTTCATGGCAAATAGATGGGGAAACGACGGAAACTTTTTATTTCCTTGGGCTCCAAAATCACTGCAGATGGTGACTGGAGTCATGAAATTAAAAGACACTCGCTCCTTGGAAGGAAAGCTGTAACAAATCTAGACAGCATTTTAAAAATCTAAACATCGCTTTGCTAACAAAAAGGTCCATATAGTCAAAGCTATGGTTTTTCCAGTAGTCATGTATGGATGTGAGAGTAGGACCATAAAGAACACTGAGTGTCAAAGAATTGATGCTTTCAAATTGTGGTGCTGGAGAAGACTTTTGAGAGTCCCTTGAACTGCAAAGAGATAAAACCAGTCACTCCTAAAGGAAATCAACTCTGAATATTCATTAGAAGGACTGATGCTGAAGCTGAAGCTCCAATACTTTGGCCACCTGATGTGAAGAGTTGACTCTTTAGAAAAGACCCTGATGCTGGGAAAAACTGAAGGCAGGATGAGAAGGGGACAACAGGGGACAAGATGGTTGATGGCATCACTGACTCAATGGACATGAGTTTGAGCAAACTACAGGAGATGCTTGAAGGACAGGTAAACCTGGTGTGCTGCAGTCCATGGGGTCTCAAAGAGTCAGACATGACTGAGTGACTGAATGACAACAATCCCTATCAAAAAGAATTCTACCAGTATCAACCAATTCATAATGACAATTACTAGTAGAAATGATCAGTACAATATAAAACTGAAAATGACTACTCCATCCAGTAAAATTATCTTAGAAAAAAGAATCATATTTTGCATATAACATTGAAAACTACCAGGAATCCCCTTAATCAAACTGTAGTCGACGGAAATGAGCGCCCAAGAAACTACAGCAGCAGATGTGAAAAAAAATTAAAATTTGGTATGGATCAAATTTGAAAGATGAATTTAACCCTCATTGTAAAGTTTACCCAGGAAAGAACTGATTCACAGTGATTTCTGCAAAATTGAAAATGGAAAAAAATTAGAAATTGCTAAAACTCACTGTATAAAAAATTGAACAGGAAATCAAATCTAAATGAAAGTTCATTGATGTTGAGACAGTTCTGATCAAAATATGTTTATTTATGATGTGGAGGGAAAATGAACTTGCAGGTTAAAATGGCAGGTCAAAAACTTCGGGAGACAATGCATATGAAGCATTTAGTAGAGATAATGCACATATCTGGCATGTGGTAAATACTCAAGAAATAGTAGGGTTGATTAAATTTTTTTTAATTGTGGTAAAATAGAAACAGCATAACATTTACCATTTTCAAGTATAGTTCAGTGGCATTAGCTATATTCCTGTTATTGTGCAACCATCACCACTATCCATCTCCAGAACTTTTTAATCTTCCCAAATGGCAACCATACCCATTAAATGATAACTTCCCATTTCTCTCTCTCTCCAGCCGCTGATAACCACTATTTACTTAGCAGTTCATGTCCCTGTGAATTTGATTACTCTATGTACCTCATATAAATGGAATCATACAATATTTGTCCTTTGTGACTGGCTTATTTCAGTCTTTTATGAAAGACATAATGCCATTTTTGTCATTAGCATAGTCTCCTACATTCATTCATACTGTAGCATGCATGTATCAGAATTTTCTTCAAGACTAAATAATATTCAATTGTATATTCATACTAAATAATATTCAATTGTATATTCATACTAAATAGTATTCAATTGTATATTCATACCACATTTTGTTTATCAATTCATCTGTCAATAGAGACTTGGTTTGCTTCCACTTTTGACTTCTGTGAATAATGTTGGCTATGAACACTGGTGTAGAATTATCTGTTTGAGTCCCTAATTTTAGTTCTTTCGGGTATACACCCAGAAATGGAACGGCCAGATCAACCCAGAGATTGAACCTGTGCCCTCTGCATTGGAAGGGTGGAGTCTTAACCCCTGCACAATCTGGTGGGGAAGTCCCCACCAGATTGTTTTTAAAGTGTAGCTTTTCCTTTTTAGGGCTTCCCTGGTAGTTCAGGTGGTAAAGCGTTTGCCTGCAATGCAGGAGACCTGGATTTGATTCCTGGGTCGGTAAAATCCCCTGGAGAAGGAAATGGCAACCCACTCCAGTATTCTTGCCTGGAGAATTCCATGGACAGAGGAGCCTGGTGGGCTACAGTCCATGGGATCACAAACAGTCGGACAAGACTGAGTGACTTCACTTTGCTTCGCTTCGCTTTCCTTTTCTCAGCCTTGCTGTGAATTTCCCTGATAGCAGTCTACCTGGAGAGGGAAATGAAAGACTTCTCAGAAATCCCTTCTATGTGACAGGAAGACTTCAACTTGATAAAACAAAACCTTGGACAGATGAATTCACTGCCCCCCACAAACAGAAAGTAAATACTAATCATTTCATCAATAACTGAGAACTGAGCCCTCTGCTCAATTTATCAGATCATCAAGCTCTTGAAAAGAGGTGCAAAAATCTTAGTTTGACATTTTGCATTCTTATATTCAAAACAGTAATATTTCATTTTATTTATTTAATTATTTTGACTGCTCTGGGTTTTTGTTGCTGCGCATGGGCTTTCTCTAGTTGTCACAAACAAGGACCCTTTGCTGTGCTGCATGGGCTTCTTGTTGCGGGGATTTCTCATTGCTGAGCACAGGCTCTAGGCTCCTGGGCTTCAGTAGTTGCAGCACACAGGCTCCGGAGTTGTGGTGCACGACTCAGCTGCTCCGCAGCATGTGGAATCTTCATGGGCCGGTGATCAAACTCATATTCCCCGGCATTGGCAGGTGGATTCTTATCCACTGTACCACCAGAGAAGTCCACCATTTTATTTTTTTTTTCCATTTATTTTTATTAGTTGGAGGCTAATAGCCAGGACATGGAAGCAGCCTAGATGCCCATCAGCAGACGAATGGATAAGGAAGCTGTGGTACATATACACTATGGAATATTACTGTCATTAGAAAGAATTCATTTGAATCAGTTCTAATGAGATGGATGAAACTGGAGCCCATTATACAGAGTGAAGTAGGCCAGAAAGATAAAGACCAATACAGTATACTAACTCATATATATGGAATTTAAAAACATTTTATTTATTTAAAAATGTGATCTTAGGCTTCCCTGGTGGCTCAGTGGTAAAGAATCTGCCTGCCAATGCAGGGCACCCGGGTTCAATCCCTGGTGTGGGAAGATCCCATTTGCCTTGGAGTAACTAAACTCGTAAGCCACAACTACTGAGTCTGTGCTGTAGCGCCCAAGAGCTGCAACTACGGAAGCCTGTTCGTGCTACGGCCTGCACTCTGCAACAAGAGAAGCTACCACAATGAGAAGCCCGTGCTTTGCAACTAAAGAAAAGCCCTCGCAGCAGTGAAGACCCAGCACAGCCAAATATAAATAAATTTTTTTTTAAGTATGATCTTCTCAGCTGAATTTATAACCAGTTACACCTCAAATGAGGGTGACTACCCCAAACAAACGCACATCTGATTTTTCCCAAATACTCTTATTTGCATTTTATTCTACATATCATAAATATGTTCTTCCTTGTTACACTGTAAGTTTCAGTCACCTGAAGCTTAACATAATAATGTTATCTTGGTTTTGTTCTTGGCTGTATCTTGTGTATTTCTCAGCAATGATTTTGAGGCTAACAGAATTTACATAGGAAAGGAATGGCACACAAGCAACATCTGGCCCACAGATACCTTTTCTTCGACCTGGGTAGCATTTTGCAATTTTTAAATTCCTTACACTCAAACTTTGCAAATTTTTACATAAAATCACAGGCTTCTGGCGCCTACTAAAAAAAACTTAAATGACCTGGCAACGCTGAGCCCTGAGTCTTTGTTGCTGCCTACAGGCTTTCTCTAGCTGCAGGGCAGGGGTTTCCTGGGGGGCTTCTCTTGTTGCGGAGCACGGGCTCTAAGCACCCGAGCTTCAGTATTTGAAGCGCACGGGCTCAGTAGCTGCAGCTTCCCGGCTCCAGAGCACACACTCGGTAGCTGTAGTGTACAGGTGCAGCTGCTCTGAAGCAAGTGGGATCTTAGACCAGGGATCCACCCCGTGTCCCCTGCCTTGGCAGGTGGATTCCCAACCACGACCACCAGGGAAGTCCCACTGAGTCCATATTCTTTATGTCAGTCGATATTTATCGTTATGCTTGTGTGGTTGTTTTCCTTACTGTGAAGAAAAGTTTTTCAAATTCTCCTCTACTATCCAATCTATTATGTTTACAGTTTTCCTGCCTGATCCTGTTATCAAATTGAGTTTGTGCCCCAATTCTAGGATGTCCAGGAAGGTACACTAACTACTTTGGTTGATGGAATCAGACATCCTGGACTTGAATGTAGACTCCCACAATTGAGTTTCAGGTTTTCATCTGTAAAGTGAGGACAGCAGCAATATTTACCTACCTCACAGGACTGAGTTAATCAATGTAAAATGTTTAAGACAGTGCCAACAGTTTTATCAAATGGAAATAGAATGGCCCAGAAGCCCAGGGACTATGACTATCTTATTTACCACTGAATACCAGTGGCCAGCACAGAGCTTGGAAGGTCAATGCTGCTGCTGCTGCTAAGTTGATTCAGTCATGTCCGACTCTGTGCGACCCCATAGATGGCGGCCCACCAGGCTCCTCTGTCCTTGGGATTCCCCAGGCAAGAATACTGGAGTGGGTTGCCATTTCCTTCTCCAATGCATACATGCACGCTAAGTCCCTTCAGTCATGTCCGACTCTGTGCGACCCCCTGGACAGCAGCCCATCGGGCTCCTCTGTCCACGGGACTCTCCAGGCAAGAACACTGGAGTGGGTTGCCATTTCCTTCTGCGTGGAAGGTCAATAAATACTTTTAAGTAACTAGGGGCAGGGGAGGAGGGAGGAGGAGTCCTAACAATGTAGTAGTACTTAGGCAGAGGACTGAGAGGGTCCACTCTCTTTGGTAGGGACACAACCACGTTATACGGAGCACTTGAAGCAACCGAGGACACAGAGCTGAATTAGATCTGGGTGAGGAAAGACTGGTTGGGGGGATGTTATTCTCATATTTTTTGCCATTCTGGGAAAGAGTAATTTTCTCACAGTCTCACTGGGGAAAGTAAGGACGAGGAGGTAGCAATAAGAAATGAACTTGGCTCTTTATGGAAAGGTTTTCCCTAGCAGCTCTGGTAAAGGATCCGCCTGCAATGAAGGAGACCCCGGTTCGATTCCTGGGTTGGGAAGATCCCCTGGAGAAGGGAAAGGATACCGACTCCAGTAATTTGGCCTTGAGAATTCCATGGACAGAGGAGCCTGGCAGGCTACAGTCCATGGGGCCGCAAAGAGTCGGATACGACTGACCTACGGAAAAGAATACGCAACCAACTCTATTAGGAACCGTGAAACCAGTACTGTTACTTTCCCGGAGGCGCAAATGATGTGCGATCACCAGACGGAGACGCAGAAGCAGGAATTCTACCATAACGTTCTAGATCAGGGCTTCGTTTGATTAGTGAGAGTTTGGCGGGAAGAGGAGAAGGCTGTACAAAGGAAGTGATGTAAGGTGTCACTCACTTGACGCGAGTGAGAGTACACGGGCTGAGATGCGGAAGTATCGTCTTGATTGGTTATTTTCTTGAGACATCGTCCTATCTCAGTGGTTCTCAGCCTTACTTTCGCTTGCGCAGTTTGTTTTGCCCTTTGTAATGATGGCCGCCGGAGCTTCTGGCCCTAACCGGAGCAGAGTGCCAGTTTTCAGGAGCTTGGCCCGAGAAGACAGGAAAAGGCGTAGATTCGTGGGCACTGATTGGCTGAAGCCCTAAGCGTTCTGGATGCTGATTGGCTCTGTCCTTCGCGGGAAGGCGTTTGTGGCGCCAGCGAAAAGTAGATACAGCGCAGCGGGAGCGGCAGGGGTGCTGAGGGGGTCGGCGAACCCACCAGACGGGAACCTTCTGGAACTCTCTCCTGAGGGAATCGTGTCGAAGATGTGGAACAGTATGATGAGCGGGGCGCGTGATGAGAATCGCAGAAAAGATTTAGCAAGGCGCGGGGTGGGAGAGGCCTGTGGCGGCGAGGGTCAGGGAGGAGCGGGGGGCCGGCTGAGGGGGCGTGTGGGCCAGGGGTGGTGGGATGGGGCGGGGGACGGTTAGGGAGACACTGGGATGGTTAGGGTGAAGTCTGGGGTGGGGGGTCCGGTGGGTTTTTCAGAGGCTTGGAGGGCAGCACAGGTGTTCATACTGTTGTTGTTTAAAACCAGGTGGATTCGAAAGCTATAGCTCCTCCTCTTTCGGGGGAGCCAGCAGCTACACACAGTCCCCTGGGGGCTTTGGATCGCCGACAGCTTCACAGGCCGAAAAGAAATCGGTAGGTTGAACGCTTATTTCGTTTTATTTTATCCTTTCCTGAAGTCCTTAACTCATCTGTGAGAGAAAATCTATGAGACGAAGGAAGGGTGTTAAACCTGAGCTGTAATTGTCAGTTATTATCGAATTTTATAATTGAATGCTGTTAGTATTGAAAAGTGATGTTTTCCCTAATTTTACATCCACTATTAACTTGACTTTATTTTGAAATTTACCAGTAGAATTAATGAGTCAGTCTTGTGGGAAAAAAACTTGCTTGTATAGCCTAGTTTGCATTCTTCGTGTATTGAAAGTCAGTTTTCAATGAAATGTAATGAGGTGCTCTGAAAAGTGAGAAGTTATCAGTCGTGTCCGACTCTTTGTGACCCCATGAACTATACAGTGCTTGGAACTCTCCAGGCCAGAATATTGGAGTGTGTAGCCTTTTCCTTCTCCAGGGGACCTTCCCAACCCAGGTCTCCACATTGCAGGCAGATTCTTTACCAGCTGAGCCTCTAGGGAAGCTGCAATGAGGTGCTTCCCTGATAGCTCAGTTGGTAAAGAATCTGCCTGCAAAAACACTCTCCGACATAAATCACAGCAGGATCCTCTATGACCCACATCCCAGAATTTTAGAAATAAAAGCAAAAATAAACAAATGGGACCTAATGAAACTTAAAAGCTTTTGTACAACAAAGGAAACTATAAGCAAGGTGAAAAGACAGCCCTCAGATTGGGAGAAAATAATAGCAAACGAAGCAACAGACAAAGGATTAATCTCAAAAATATACAAGCAACTCCTCCAGCTCAACTCCAGAAAAATAAATGACCCAATCAAAAAATGGGCCAAAGAACTGAACAGACATTTCTCCAAGGAAGACATACAGATGGCTAACAAACACATGAAAAGATGCTCAACATCACTCATTATCAGAGAAATGCAAATCAAAACCACAATGAGGTACCATTACACACCAGTCAGGATGGCTGCTATCCAAAAGTCTACAAGCAATAAATGCTGGAGAGGGTGTGGAGAAAAGGGAACCCTCTTACACTGTTGGTGGGAATGCAAATTAGTACAGCCACTATGGAAAACAGTGTGGAGATTTCTTAAAAAGCTGGAAATAGAACTGCCATATGACCCAGCAATCCCACTTCTGGGCATACACACCGAGGAAACCAGATCTGAAAGAGACACGTGTACCCCAATGTTCATCGCAGCACTGTTTATAATAGCCAGGACATGGAAACAACCTAGATGCCCATCAGCAGACGAATGGATGAGGAAGCTGTGGTACATATACACCATGGAATATTACTCAGCCATTAAAAAGAATTCATTTGAATCAGTTCTAATGAGATGGATGAAACTGGAGCCCATTGTGCAGAGCGAAGTGAGCCAGAAAGATAAAGACCATTACAGTATACTAACACATATATATGGAATTTAGAAAGATGGTAACGATAACCCTATGTGCAAAACAGAAAAAGAGACTCCTATGTATAGAACAGACTTGTGGACCCTGGGAGAAGGCGAGGGTGGGATGTTTCAAGAGAACAGCATTGAAACATGTATATTATCTAGGGTGAAACAGTTCACCAGCCCAGGTTGGGTGCATGAGACAAGTGCTCGGGCCTGGTGCACTGGGAAGACCCAGAGGGATTGGGTGGAGAGGGAGGTGGGAGGGGGGACCGGGATGGGGAAAAAAAAAAAAAAAGAATCTGCCTGCAATGCAGGAGAGCCTGTTTGATTCCTGGGTCCAGAAGATCCCCTGGAGAAGGGATAGGCTAACCTGCTCGAGTGTTCTTGGGCTTCCCTGGCGGGTCAGCTGGTAAAGAATCCGCCTGCCATGTGGGAGACCTGGGTTCGATCCCTGGGTTGGGAAGATCCCCTGGAGAAGGGTAAAGGCTACCTACTCCAGTATTCTGGCCTGGAGAATTCCATGGACTGTATAGTCCATGGGGTTGCAGAGAGTCAGACAGATGAGGTGTTCTAATGCAGTGGAAAGAGCTTGGTCTTTGAAGTCTGGTGGGTATATTATATGTTGAACCGTTGCTCTGCCACTCCTTGTAGAGTCTCATCGGACAAATTTCTTAACTTTGGGAGTCCGTTTTGCACCTGCTAAATGGGATTAATAATACGTACTTTACGAAGTTGTTGTGAGACTTAATATTATAATAATATAATTATGCCTATCCCAGAGTTGATTTCAATAAGTGGTCCCAGAGAGTATTATTGAAAACAGCTTGAGTTTTGGAGCCAGAATACATGGTGTCCAGAATCAACTTTGCCTTTTAAGTGTTGGTGTGAGTTTAGTGAAGCAATTTACATCCTTAGTTTTGGTGGCCCTTGATTTTTCTCATCAGATAATAGTACTAGTACTACTCATGTCACAGGGTCATTCTGAGACTTGATAAATAAAGTAATGTATAGGAAAGTGATCTGTAAAAAGCTTCCCAAATGCTTGTTATTCACTCTTTCAGAAATAAGTTTGCATTTAATAGCTGCTGTTGATTTCATCTTTTTCAAAATACAGAATTTGGTGTTAAGATTCAGTATTAGTCGGTTATGTGTTTTTTGTCCAGGTTGATAAGCTTTTACCTGAACTGTTGATTAACAGGTGTATATCAGTAGGAAAGAATTCATTGATAATTCCCATGCATTTGGGCATTGCTTTATATTTTTATATGATTATTTTATATAATCCTGTAAGAGACTTATTATTCACTCCATTGCACAACATAGGCTCAAGGTGATTAAGGGACACCTAAACTTGCATAGCTAGTAAGACAGTGCACATATGATGCTGCACAAATCCAAAATCTGGTGAGCAACTTCTGTCTGTTGTATCTTTTTCCCAGGAAGACCAGAGGGAACTCCAAGTCCTCTAAATTTGTCTTTGAGGCTGTAAAGGAAAAAATAAAAGATAGATCATTGGTTCTCATCTTTTCTTCTTAAGCTTAATATTTTTATTCATTTCCGGCTGTTAGAATTTTTATCTCAGAATCTCCACCTGACTGGGGCTGTATATTAAGACCACCTCTCAGAGAAATGATGGTTGTAAGCTGGAGTCTCAAACCCAGGTCTTTTGTGTTTAAATCCAGTGCCTTTTCCATAGTAAATTAGGTTAACACTCTATCTAAAATGTCTCCGGTTGACTATAAACCTGTTATATTTGATCAATTCATGTGAAATTTCCAAAATTGATCATGTTTTGCCTTTTAAAATGGTGGGGGTTTTTTGTTTTTTGGGTTTTTTACGGTATTATCAGAGTAGCCAGTGGTTCATAGTCAACTAAAAAATAATTTTTTTTCAAAATTAAACATACTTGTGCTTGCACTCTCTCTGAGACTCTTTGGAAGAAACCGGGACCTCTTTGTGATCAGTTCCTGGCACATAATAGGTGCTTGTTAAAACACAAGAGGGCTTCCCAGGTGGTTCAGACGGTGAAGAATCTGCCTGCAATGCAGGGGATCAGGGTTGGGAAGATCCCCTGGAGGAAAGGATGACTGCCCACTCCAGTATTCTTGCCTGGAGAATTCCATGGACTGAGAAGTCTGGTGGGCTACAGTCCTTGGGGTCACAGAGTTGGACACGACTGACTGACTAACAAAACACAAGAATCCTCTGTGATTTGAGGCAAATTTGAAGGTGTTACTAACACCTCAATAATTACCCATATCCTCAATAATTACCCATATATAACATTTTTACCTGAGGAATAATAATTTTTATTGAATACATATGGCTATATATATTGATATTAGCGCTTTTATATACATTATATGTTTGTTTACTTTACAGAATAGGTGGCAGTGTGTCCAGGGCTATGGAGGGAGGTTTGAACACAGGTTTATAGGACTGTCGGACTCCAAAGCCATGTTCGTGCTGCTCTTACCATAGTGGCTCTTAAGTTTTCTTATGCTAAAGATACAGTGAAAATCTCAAGTGTGATAGATGAAAACAGAACCTCCACCGATTTTAAATGTATAAATACTAATATAGCATATAACTTCATTTACCAATACCATAAAATTGGAAAACATAGTTGGTTCCTTTACATCCTTATTAAAAGCTATTGCAGATAGAAAGAGTGAGGAACAATAGCTGGCCTAATAATTGCTGATATTTCTTGAGTGTTTATAGTATGCCAGATAGTCTAGGTACTTCACCATATATTTACTTCTCATAATGATTTTTAGTGATTTTATCATTCCTTGTTTTATAGATGAGGAAACAGAGGTAAACAGATGAATAGAGAAATGTGGTCAAGGGCACACTACTCCTGAGTGGTGGAGCTATAATCTTTACCCTCAAGCTTGGCTGCCACCTTTTGTGACATATGTGCTGGTAGTTGGCTGGGCTTACTTTCTACTATCCTGGCAGTACTCACTATTCAAAATTATGCTTCAGTAAAGTGAAATGTTGCTAGTATCATGGACCTTCAGAGATAAGCTTTGACTTCTAAATCAGTTTTACATGTAGAACAGTTACTGGGTTTACATTTTACTGATTTCCAACAGGAAGAACCCTCATCTTTAATGCACCTTGCTTTTTCTGTTTTGTATAGAGTCCTTCCTAAAGAGTCTATGAAAGTGCATATTTGCTCTCAGTCTGTAATGCATGTTCCTTACCCACTGTTTTTTCACCATCAAAATTTTTATGCTTCAAGGTCCAGCCTAAATGCTCCCTCTTCTTGAAATTTCCAATAAACTTTCCTGAGATTCCACGTAGAGTTTCTCATTCTGTAGTGTACAGAGATCAAGATTGTTGCTTACATTTGTACCCCCTCTAAGCTAGGAGTATGTTGAGGGTAAATCCTATTCCATTATACTCATCTTTATGTCCTCTGACCAGTGGTAGGCAAAATAAGAGTTCACGCTGTTGTTAGGTTGCTTCCGGATGTGAGTTGGGTGTCTGTCCTCTTCTGCCCATTGCCTCCTGTCCCTTTCCTTTAGGATGTCCAGTGTGACCACGCCTTAATCCCAATTCCCCCATACTCGTGTTTGATTGTCAGAACATCTATCCTAAAGCTATATGTCTAAATTTCTGTTGTCATTTATCATGAGACTTAGAACAACTCCAAAGTTCTCTCTCTGCTGATCATTTCTCAGACCTCTTCTCATCAGTGATGAATATCCAGCTCCAGCTTGCCTTCATCCTAAAGGTGGAGTTTCTTCTTAAAAGTCTGTTCCAGAAGCAGGTCCTTACGCTGTCCACAATCTGGTCTACTCGTTTTGGTGATCCCTAGTCCAGCACAGACTTATCCATTCATCAGGAACTTTGGAGTCAGACAGACCTGGGTTTGAAATCTAAAGTATGGCATTTGTTAACTATATAACCTTGGTTTTCACCTGTATGAAGTAGAGATAGGATCATATTGAAGATTCAGTGTTATATGTATAGTGCTTGGCACATAGCAGATGCTAAATGAACAGTAGTTAATTATTTTCTTGATTGAATTTATGCATACTTTTTTTCAGAGAGCTCGAGCTCAGCACATTGTACCCTGTACCATATCTCAACTGCTTTCTGCTACTCTGGTTGATGAAGTATTCAGAATTGGAAATGTTGAAATTTCACAGGTATGGAAAATAATTTGTTGAAGAGCACTTAACATGAAGAATGAAATAAAACTAACATCATTTAAAAATACATAAATGTTACTTTGGTTTCCAAGAAAACTAAACGTTTTTTCCTTCTGGTCTAGGTCACTATTGTGGGGATAATCAGAAATGCAGAGAAGGCTGCAACCAACATTGTTTACAAGATAGATGACATGACAGCTGCACCCATGGATGTTCGCCAATGGGTTGACACAGATGTAAGTAGTTGTTTTGGAATCAGGGTGGGGTTATTTTGGGACTTTGGAGATGTCGAACTTTTTTAGTTTTACTTTTTAAAGGCGGATCTTGTTATAAAAATAAAACATGAGCAAAACGTCAAACACAGAAACCCTAACATGAACGGTCAATACATTTTATTTCATTAAAATCTAAAATCTTTGAAACTTCCCCAAATACTATAAACAAAGTTAAAGGGCAAGTAACAGGATATACTAGAATGTAAACTTTGTGAGTATGAAGATTTTTTATGTTGGCATTGTATCCCAGCACCTAGAACAATGCCAGTTATATAGTGGGCCCTGAGTAAATATTATTCAAATGAGTGGGAAATTTTTTTGCAACATATTACAAACATTTAAAATTTTTAATTAATGAAAGTTCTTACAAAGGAAAAAGCAATTGCACCTTAGGAAACAGGGAAAGAAATGTACAAGTAATTCATAATACGTGAAATATAAATTGCAACAATAATAAAAAAAGCAGGTTTACTGAACATTAAGATACCACTTTTAACTTACTAAATTGGCAAAGAAAAAAGAATGGCAACGTCTACTTCTGTTGAGAGCAGGAGGCACTTAATTTGGGGAATGGTTTGTCAGTGTTTGGGAAAGAGGATGCCATCCTACCTTGATGTTATGAGTATAACCTTTCTCAAAAATCAGCCTATGATCCAGGTCACCCATCACAGAAAACTTGACCTAGCAGTCTACTGCTGGAAATTTCCATTAAGGAGATAAAGATGTGTGCAAAGTTTCAGTTGTAAGATTGTTGATCATCACATTATGTATCATAATGGAAAACTAAAAGGAATCTTGATGTTAGCAATAGGATATTGTTAATTAAACCATGGTATATATTTAAAATACTGCAAATGATGTAGAAATGTATGTATTGTCACAAAGAAGTGTTTACCATAAATGTTGAGAGGAAATGAGCTTGTTAAAGATAGTATGTTTTTATTTTTGCAAAGCAACATGTATCTGAGTGTATGTATAAACATGGAGAAAATAGACCAAAAGAAAATATATGCTTCTTACCCTTTTATTTTTTAATTGGGCAGAAGCCTTTTAGATTTTCGTTTTTGCTGCACTGTGCAGCTTTTGGGATCTTCGTTCCCTGACCAGAAATCAAGCCATGCTCCCTGCAGTGAAAGCATGGAGTCCTAACCGTTGGACCTCCAGGAAGTTCCCAGCTTCTTCATTTTTTAATGTTGTTTTAAAAGTGCATTCATTTTAGAAAATTTGGATACTTTGTATGCTATTTTCACTTAAAAAACCACAATCATCTATGAAGAGTTAACTTGATAGTTATGCGTTCTTTATTTTTTGCACCTCAGAAAAATATAGGAGAATTTATTGAACAGTTATAATTGAATACCGATTCTGAACTAGACTGCTTGATTCCAGGTAGATGAAGAATGTAACCACACAGTCCCTGCCATCAAGTGGGGAGGTGATTACTAGAAATGCCTAATACTACATACTCATGTGAAGTGTATGCTGCTCACTCTTATAATAAGTGAGCATTTAAAGATTACCTGAAATCCCACATCCCAAAATGATTACTGTTACAGTGAAAGTGAAGTCGCTCAGTTGTGTCCGACTCTTTGCGACCCCATGGGCTGTAGCCTACCAGGCCCCTCCGTTCATGGGATTTTCCAGGCAAGGGTACTGGAGTGGGGTGCCCTGTTATAGTACATTTTGATAAATACCCTTTCAGACATTTCTCTCTGCATATTTGTACATTTATGAGATGGATGCCTACAGGTTTACATAAAGGATAATATGATATTCAACTGCTTCATTATCTGCCCTTTTCACTCAGAACTCTCCCATTTCTGGTGACCACCTGTTCCATCATAAGGATACATCATCCCTTGCTTCTAGACCCAGTCGGAACATTTAGCTTATTTCCATCATTTGTTATTATAAAATAGGCCCCAGTGAGTATCTGTGTGTATATTTCTTCATGATTATGAGATAATCTCTTTAAGATGAATTAAACTAGGTTTTCTGGAGGAAATATACATTTTAAAATACTTTTTTTTTTGGTTAATCTTATATTTATGATTTTGCATTTTTTTATTTAATTAGTGCATGAGAATGCCCAATTAGTTCCCCACACCCTAACAGTAGGTTTTATGAGTCTTAAATTTTTGTATGATAGTTTAAAAAATACAATCTTGTCATTGAGAATGTTATTTTTTATATGTAATTTAGTTTTAGTGAGATTGAATTTTTTTTAACTATATTTAAATAAGACTGGGTGCTGACTGTGGCTCAGAACACGAACTCCTTATTGCCAAATTGATACTTAATTTGAAGAAAGTAGGGAAAACCATTCGGCCATTCAGGTATGATCTAAAGCAAATCCCTTATGATTATACAGTGGAAGTGATACATAGATTCAAGGGATTAGATCTGATAGAATGCCTGAAGATCTCTGGAGGGAGGTTCATGACATTGTCCAGGAGGCGATGATAAAAACCATCCCCAAGTGGAAGAAATGGAAAAGGCAAAATGGTTATCTGAGGGGGCTATTTGTAAGAATAGCTGAGAAAAGAAAAGATGCAAAAGGCAAAGGGGAAAAGGAAAGATACCCATCTAAATGCAGAGTTCCAAAGGATAGCAAGGAGAGATAAGAAAGCCTTTCTAAGTGAACAGTGCAAAGAAATAGAGGAAAACATCAGAATGGGAAAGACTAGAGATCTCTTCAAGAAAATTAGAGATGCAAAAATGGGCACAATAAAGGTCAGAAACAGTGTGGGCCTAAGAGAAGCAGAAGATATTAGTCAGAGGCGGCAAGAATACACAGAAGAACTACACAAAAAAGATCTTCATGACCCAGATAACCATGATGATATGATCACCCACCTAGAGCCAGACATCCTAGAATGTGAAGTCAAGTGGGCCTTAGGAAGCATCACTACAAACAAAGCTAGTGAAGGTGATGGAATTCCAGTTAAGCTATTTCAAATCCTTAAAGATGATGCTGTGAAAGTACTGCACTCAATATGCCAGCAAATTTGGAAAACTCAACAGTGGCCACAGAACTGGAAGAGGTCAGTTTTCATACCAGTTCCAAAGAAGGCAATGCCAAATAATGTTCAAACTACTGCATAGTTGCATTCATCTCACATGCTGGCAAAGTAATGCTCAAAATTCTCCAAGCTAGGCTTCAAGAGTACGTGAACCGAGAACTCCCAGATGTTCAAGCTGGATTTTGAAAAGGCAGAGGAACCAGAGATCAAATTGCCAACATCCACTGAATCATAGAAAAAGCAAGAGAATTCCAGAAAAACATCTACTTATGTTTCATTGACTATGCTAAAGTCTTTGACTGTGTGGATCACAACAAACTGGAAAATTCCTAGGGAGATGGGAATACCAGACCACCTTACCTGTGTCCTGCACAACCTGTATGCAGGTCAAGAAGCAACAGTTAGAACCGGACTTGGAACAGTGGACTGGTTCCAGATTGGGAAAGGAGCATGTTAAGGCTGTATACTGTCACCCTGCTTAATTATATGCCGAGTACATCATGAGAAATGCTGGGTGGGATGAAGCACAAGGTGGAATCAAGATTGCTGGGAAAAATATCAATAACCTCATATATGCAGATGACACCATAACTATGGCAGAAAGCGAAGAACTAAAGAGCCTGTTGATAAAGGTGAAAGAGGAGAGTGAAAAAGCTGGCTTAAAACTCAGCATTCAGAGAACTTAAGACCATGGCATCTGGTCCCATCACTTCATGGCAAATAGATGGGGAAACAATGTACACATGAGAGACTTTATGTTCTTAGGCTCCAGAATCACTGCAGATGGTGACTGCAGCCATGAAATTAAAAGACACTTGCTCCTTGGAAGAAAAACTATGACAAACCTAGACAGTGAATTAAAAAGCAGAGACATTACTTTTGCCAGCAGAGGTCCATCTAGTCAAGGCTATGGTTTTTCCAGTAGTCATGTATGAATGTGAGAGTTGGATCATAAAGAAAGCTAAGTGCCAAAGAATTGATGCTTTTGAACTGTGGTGTTGGAGAAGGCTCTTGGGAGTCCCTTGAACGGCAAGGAGATCAAACCCGTCAATCCTAAAGGATATCAACCCTGAATAATCATTAGAAGGACTGATGCTAAAACTGAAACTCCAGTACTTTGACTACCTCATTAGAAAAGACCTTGCTGCTGGGAAAGATTGATAGCAGGAGGAGAAGGGGACGACAGAGGACAAAATGGTTGGATGGCATCACCAACTCAATGGACATGAGTTTGAGCAAACTGTGAGAGATAGTGAAGGATAGGGAGTCCTGGTGTGCTGCAGTCCATGGGATCGCCTAGAGTCGGACACGACTGAACAACAACAACAACAAAATGTAAATTTGTGGGGAGATTTTTTAGTTGTCTGAGTACTTTGATTCCCTAGGAGTGTTTATTTTTGTTTGCAAGAGCCTGAAAAGTAGTAATCTCTTATCATAATTATATTATTTCTCTAGTTTGTCTTTTGACTTTGAAAAGCTTTTCCTTGTTTCAAATTATTGTTTAATTGTTCATATTTCCTTCTATAATTTCTATGGTTTCTTTTCATATTTCTATATATGATTAAGCCTTTTTATAATTAAATGATATATCTTAGTAAAAGGGAAGAAGTATAGATCCAGCTTTACTTTTTCCACGTGGTTTTAAAATGTTCTTTGTGGGAATACAGAGTTTTATCTGTGGTATAGATTCAGCTATGTAAAGTAATAGAATGAAATGCAAATAGTTGATAGCCTCCAAGTGATGGGAATTGGAATGCTTTTTATTTTTAAACATCCAGATTATCTATTCTAGCTTTTTATACTCATGTATTCTCTAAGTGGGCTTCCCAGATGGCGCTAGTGGTAAAGAACTCGCCTACCAATGCAGGAGACATAAGAGGGTTTGATCCCTAGGTGGGGAAGATCCCCTCAGGAGGGCATGGCTACCCACTTCAGTATTCTTGCCTGGAGAATCCCGTGGACAGACAAGCCTGGTGGGCTATAGTCCATAGGGTCACAAGGAGTTGGACACAGTTGAAGCGATTTAATGCAAACACACGCATTCTAGAAGCAGAAAAGAACTGGGTCAGCTTATATATTTTTCTTATAAATAATAGGTACATAGCCTAGAAAACCCATAAAGAAATATTACAATCATTTATAATTATCCCAGTTAACTTTTGTTAATGTTTTGACATGTATGTTTCACCTCGTGGGAAATAAGCTGAGTCACAGCTGATGAGTCACAACTGATATTCACAGAGAGTAAATAGAATTCTCCATTATCCTTTGCAGCAGTGTAAAGTATCCCATTATATGAATGTGTACTTTTTATTGGATATTTAGGTTGCTTTAAATGTTTTAGTAGTATTCATAACTATGCTGAGATGACTACTTTTAAAGCTAAATCTTGATTACATGTTCTTAGTAATTTTCTTAAATTTCTAAAAGTAGAGTTGCTGTGCTGAGAAGCATGTCTTAACCGGAAAGTTGTGTGCTTGAGAGCACTGAATGAAAAGTGCCATAATTGTTTGCTGGGTGGAACTGGAAATTACCTTTAGAAATATTATTCTAATTCCTGATTTTATTTTTTAAAATATTCTAAAAGGCAGGGAAAACTGGTTAGTGCTACATTAGGATCCTTTAGCTCTTATTGTAACTTTATCTTCATAAATTTTAAAGAGGCTTTCACCAGTATCACTAAAACCTAAGTGTGTGTGTATTTTTTCTGTTAGGATGCCAGCAGTGAAAACACTGTGGTCCCTCCAGAAACATATGTGAAAGTGGCTGGTCATCTGAGATCATTCCAGGTAAAGTCAGAAAAAAACAAAAACAGTTAAAATGTATTTGCATGAAGCAGTTTCTGGAGTCATGCCTACGTTTGGGATACTTAAGACTTAACTAAGTCTCTATGTTTAATGGGAATTATATTGAAGTTATTTCATTATTTTCTTCAAAAGGAAATAATGAGTTTTTTCAATTTAAAACAGAAAGGTAGAGAAAGAACAAGATCTCAGCCTACAGTTGCCAGCTATGACATTCATTAGGTGTGGAAGGGTAGACAGTGGATTTAGAGACTGGACTCTTTGTTTAACCTTGGGAAAATCATTGAACATCTCTGAGCTAGTTTTGTTTTTTGACTATATTTCATTGACTATATCTGAATTAACTTTGAGCTGAAAATTTTCAATATCTAGCACATTTTCCTCATTTAATAAAATACTGTAACCAAGAAAAGAGCCATGATGTTTTGGCCTGAAATTGACTCTAATGTGCTTAGCCTTTGTTCACATTTTTCTCTTTATTTTAATAGAACAAGAAAAGCCTGGTAGCCTTTAAGATCATGCCCCTGGAGGATATGAATGAGTTCACCACACATATTCTGGAAGTAGTCAATGCACACATGATGCTGAGCAAGCCAAACAGCCAGGTGAGCAGTTTCGCGCTCATCGTTTTTTCTCTTCCCTGGAGGAACTGCTTCTGTGCTCCGGCTTTGACTTCCTTAACATTTTGCAGATCAAGCCAGAAGACACGCATCATTCAGTCTTAAAAAAATTTTCTCTATGAGCTTTGCCATGTTACTTTATTCCAGATGAAACACTCATATTCCTCTCACAATACCTCTCCACTGTCTTGAATGGTTAAGGCCCAGACAGACTTCAAGTGTAGACCCATTGTGATAGGCTTAGCTCTTCGCTTAAGGATTTTCAGTCCATACTCAGAGAAAAACCCCAACTAGGACAGCATTTTGCTGCTTCCCTTTCAACCTATTGGCTAAATGAGAAAATTTATTCACCATTATTTTGTCCCTGAAATTATATTTCTTGTTTCATGTTGAAATTTCTCAACATTTTTTTCTGTAGTATGAATTTAGTTTGACAAGTTCATGTAGGACCACACAAAAGGTTTGTTGATCCGAGTATTAGAATGCCCTCAGATGATTCTGGTTGCAAGGTGGAGGACTGGTTACAGTAGGAGGGGCTGGAAAACTGGTTTGCTTTTGCATCCTGTTCTTTGCCAAGCACTTTGCTAAGCATTGGGGATACAAAGAGAAATTCATTCAATTTATTGAGCATAGCATATGCCCGCTATTATTCAAGGTTCTAGGAATACAGCAGTGAACAAGATGGATTAAGTGTCTGCACTCAAACTTACATTCTTGAGAGAAATGGATCATAAACATGAAAATAAATATATAATTATATATTGTTATAGATACTCTGCAATAAGACAAGAGTAGGACAGGACAGTGATGGAGGAAAATGTATGGTATAATTTTAGGTGAGAAAAGAACATTCCAAGCAGAGGAAATAAAAAATCAGAAGCCATGAGATTGCAACAAGCTTGGCATATCTGAGACCATTAAGAAAGCCACAGTCTGCAGTGAAGCAAATAACAGGAAGATGGTAGAGGGATGTAGACAAGGAAGCGGACCCAGAGGAGGTAGGGCTTCACAGGCTGTAGTAAGAATTGCCTTCTTCTCCTTGATAGTAAACTTTTAGAAGATTTTGACTAGGGAGTGATGTGGTGTGATTTACTATCACAAAAGCTCATTTGAGCTCTTGTATGGAGAGCAGACTGAAGCTCCAGCAATAGTAACAGCTATAATCTGGGGGAATAGTAGCAGCAACTGGGAGAAGAGGTTGGATTCTAATCTGTTCTGAAGGTAGAGCTGCAGGACCTATTGGTAGTTTAGAAACAGGATCTGAAGGAGAGAGGATTCAGGTGTAATTCCTAGGTTTGGGGCTCGAGTAACTAGGTGAAGCCAGCAGGTTTTGAGGATAAAATCCAGGATTCTCTTTTGGACTTAACAAATGTGACGTGCCAGTTAGACACCCAAATGGAGACCAGAGTGGAAGGTTGACTATATAAGGCTGGGACTCGAGGGAGGGGTCAGGGCTAGAGAGAGCACTTTGAGAGTCATTGTGTGGATGGTATTTAAAAGCTTCAGATGAGATGAGATGAGATAACTAGTGAGTTATTAGAGACCTGAGCTCTGGAACACTAACCTTTAGGAGTGTGGAGGCACAGGAGCCAGGGTAAGTCAAAGAAGTTGTCAGCTGGACAGGAAGAAAAGGGGGGACTGTGATTCCATAGGATATTCTGAAAAGAGTGTTTTAAGGACGGAATGGAGTTCACCTGGAGAATGCTGCCCAGAAGTCAGGTAAGATGATGAGAGGGGTCTGTTGAATTTGGAAACGTGGATCTCCAAAAGAGTGGATTCAGTAACGGGTAGGGGGAACATGGGTTAGAAGGAATGGGATTGAATAGAAAGTTTAGGGTGTTTATCTTATGACTGTGCTTCATAACATATACATATGTATCAAATGTTCTATGATAAAAATGGTTTTAAAGAGAATAGGTGAAAGTTGTGAGCATAGACAATTATATTGAGGAGTAAATAAAATAATCCTTTCCCTCAATGAGTTTCCTCAAGTACTGGGGGGGTGGGGGGTTGGGGGGCGGGTGGTTCAGATCACTTAAGCAGTGAAAGCAGCGATGAGTGGCAAGTGCAGTATACCATGGAACCACAGAGAGGAGTTGCCCATCCTGACCCAGACATCAAGAAAGGCCTGCTGGAGGAGATGATGCCTAAACCAAGTCATAAAATTTACATGGGAGGTAGGGGGGATACCTGAAGCAGATCATATCAGCAGAGGTATCCAGGGAAGAAATAACATTCAGGTCAGTATTATCATAACATGAGATTTCTGTTTTACCAGAAAGCAGTGTGAAGGCATCTAGCTTGAAAACAAGAGGATCATGATTGATTTTTGTTGTTTATTTTTTTTATGACCTCAAAGCATTGGCATTTAATGGATAAATGTTGAAGGAATGAGTCTCCTGCCTGGATGGGAGTTCCCCTGATGAGCTTCCACAATGCTCTTTACTTGTAATAAGTACTTAATATATTTGATCTTTTGTCATCTTTATTCATTTCAATAAATTAAACATTGACTGAGCACCTAGTGCCCACCAGGCACTGCAAAGCTGAAGGGACTTGTAGGGGAAAGTGACAGAACTGTGATGGCTGCTGTGAGAGGGAATGGGGCAAGTGCTGTGAGACCCGAAAGAAAGCACAACTAACCTGGCCTGGGAGGGTGTCAGGGACAGCTTCTTGAAGGCAGTGGCAATTAAGTTGGGCTTTGAAGGATAAGAAGAGTGTTTCCCAGGCAGACGATGAAAGGAGCATTCCAGACATGGAATAAAGTAGACGCATGTGTGAATGGTCAGAAGTCCCTGTGTTAAAAGCTAGTGGTCAAGAATTAAAAAAAGACTCTGATGTCTAGTTACGGTAGGTCTTGAATGTCCAGGGGTTTCATATTATCTTCACAGGCAGGGGGAGCCAGCTGAAAGCTTTTAGGTGGAGGAGAGACGTGATCAGAAATTATTACTTGGAGCAATAAGGAGGGTTGATTGACGTAGGAGAGACTTACAGCTGAGACACTGGTCAGGAGACTAGGGGTGATGAGGATGGACTGGAGCTGTTGAAGATTGTATTAATAGGCTGTGGGGACAGACTATGGGAGATGAGTGACTGGAGACACAGATGGCTGACTTCTGCAGGACTGGACTTGAGCTTACTAACTGAGATGGAATACATAGCAGGGCAGGCCATTTTGGGGAGGAAAGTAGTGAACTTTATTTTGAAGTACATGGGACATCTAAATGGTGGTCTTCAGTTGATGGTTGGGGACAAGGATTTTGTGGTCTCAGAGGAAGTCTGGGATAAAATCCTGGGGGATCTATCAGCCTTTTGAAAGATAGGTAGACGAGGAGACTGAGAGGAGATACTAAGAAGGCAGAGTTCAAGAGTTAAGTGGACAGCTAGAAGAATATGGTGTTAGGAAGCCCAGGGACGGGTCCATTTCAAGAGGAATGTGGTCAGCAGTGTCTGCTTCTGAGAGGTCAAGTGTTGTGAGGGACTGAAAGGGATTACTGGCTGTATTGGTTGAAAAGCATTGGTGACTTTGGTGGGAACAGTTTCAGGGGTATATTTAGGGAGAATCCAAATAGGGGAGAGAAGTGAAAACAGTGACTGTAGTCTATTATTTTTTAAAAGTTTGGTTAAAAAAAAGAAGAGGGTGATGAGAATTGTGTCTCCTTTTCTTTCCTTGTAATGCTTAATGCCTAGCTGATGCTTGGTAAGTGCTTGTATGATTGAGCACCAAAGATAGATACCACTATAGCAGAACTCATTAATTTTCTTTGTGCTCTTTTTCCTCTGGTTCCTCTCACATCGCAAAGAAAAGGGGACGCCAGGAAGTACCTTTCTCTCTGTTTGATATGATATATATACTTCAGAGATGACTTTATCTTATGAAATACTCATTAGATAATAGGTGTCCTTTCCAGTCTAAGCAATTGTTATTTGGAAAATTCTGCTTAGAACATTCCGTGGTGATCCAGTGGTTAGGATTCAGTACTTTCACTGCCGTGGCCTGGATTTAGTCTCTGGTTGGAGAACTCAGATCTCATAAGCCATACGTTGTGGTCAGAAAAACAAAAAAAATTTGCTTAAATTGTTTTTTGTAAACTACTTATTAAGCTATTTAAAAGAGCAAGAACTATGTTTAAATTGGTAAACTTACTAATGTTGTGAACTTCCTTAATTCAGCCCTCAGCAGGGAGAGCACCTATCAGCAATCCAGGAATGGGTGAAGTTGGGAACTTCAGTGGGAATAACTTCATACCAGCAAATGGCCTCACTGTGGCCCAGAACCAGGTAAACAATGGAGTGGCTCCAGACTTTGCAAGATGCAGAGCTGTAAATTGTTACTTTCTTAATGGTGCTAAGTATCTGACTCATTTCTTTCTTATAAAGAGATTCTCGCTTGATAGGGGAGCTGATTCATAGTAGTTATTGAAATCTTTCTGATTTGAATCTTCAGGTGCTGAATTTGATCAAGGCTTGCCCAAGACCTGAAGGATTGAACTTTCAGGATCTCAAGAACCAACTCCAACACATGTCCGTAGCCTCAATCAAGTGAGTGTTTGGTTTCTATGAGCTAATGTTCCAGAATTGTACACATTTCACCTCACCAAGGTTTTCTTTAATGAGAAGTGAGTTAAAAAAGTGAGTTAAAAAAAAGAAATAAGAGGGAAGTTGTTCAGTCATGGAAAAATAGGAAAAGATGGTGCTCATAAAGATGGTGCTGCCTGTCACTTCCCTTATTCATTTTTTCATTCAACAAATAGTAAGTCCAGTTATGTGTGAAGCATGTAATTTTGAACAAAAATTGACCTGATAGCTCTTATGGAATTTAGTCTAGAGGAATGAGATCCTGGCTTCTGGTCCTCAGGTGTACAGTCTCATTGGTGTTACTGTTCCAGATGTGGAGAGTGTGCCTCACGCTATCTGGACCTAAAGCCGTTAGACAGTCCTTCCAGCATCATTGTCCTGATAACCTATTAGATGAGCAGCTTCCTGATTCTAATGAACTCGTCAAACAGAGTATTGTGTTTGTGATAGCTGTTACTATAAATCAGTTGAAATTCTAGATCTCAGTAGAGAAAAATGCTCATGTCTCATTCCATTTCCTGTCCTACTAATAATTCCTGTCCTAAGAGTTACTGTGATGAGGTACAGAATGGCGGTTACAATAGTAGGTGCTTTCTAAGTTGTTACTATTATTAATTATGATACTGACACTAACTCTGAAGGCCTTAAAACCATTTCTGGAAGACCTTTTCTTTCCTTCCTGCAACTTTATTTCCCAGAGGGAAATTGGAGGGCCCATGGATGGATGAGGAGCTTTTTTTTTTTTTTTAATAGCTATTTCTACTAGGAAACATTATGTGCAAGCTGAACAACAGCTTTAGATCCTAGTTTCAGAGGCTCATTTAGACTGGTATTTAAGTGAGGTCCTACTTTCTTTGCTTTATACAATCTGGGAGAGGGATCCAAGGCAGCCCTGAAACCATTTTCTCCATGGATTACCTCAGTTTTGCAATTGAACTGATGTTTCTCTCTGCAAGAGCCTTCTATGAGCAAAATGGCTGTGAATTGGTAAGGCATCTGCCTGCCAATGCAGGAGACACATGTTTGACCCCTGGGTCAGGAAGATCCCCTGGAGAAGGGCATGGCAACCCACTCCTGTATTCTTGCCTGGGAAATCCCATGAACAGAGGAGCCTGGTGGGCTGCAGTCCACTGGGTCACGAAAGAGTCGGACACGACCTACTGACTAAAACAACAGGAAGATAGAAGGTTGGGAAATGAGGAAAGCTTACATATTCAGCCGTATCTAAAAGGCAGTTTACTATCTTCTGCATTAGGGTGTTTTCTTTCTTTCTAGGCTGGCTGTGGATTTTCTAAGCAACGAGGGACACATCTATTCCACCGTGGATGATGATCATTTTAAATCCACAGACGCAGAATAATTGGATCTAACTGGGTACCTGAGATACTTTCCAGTTGGACCTTTTTTTTGCAGCCTCTTGTCACCAGCTGTGCATATAATTGGCGGGTTGACTTCTAGGAAGTAGATTTCATCTGTAAAAGATCTCAACTGACATCCTTTTGAAACTTACTACTACTCTTCTGTGTTTTTGAAGCTCAAAGGGATATGGGCCACTGAAAAGGATATAAACCAGGGCAGAATTTCTTAAAGAAGTAACAGATTAGTTAGTTACAACATCAAAATAAATGGAATTGAAAGAGAGATGCCACCACGAGAGTTGGGCAGTACTTACTGCTTAAATAATGCTCAAGAGTTTCTATTCTTAAATTGTTTCCTCTTGAGAGAAGATGAGCAGCACTGGGCCTACTCACCTCTGCCTTTTTTGGTTCCCCACTTTGGTTGTGTGGTGTTACTTTCAGAATTGCACTTTTTTCACCTTGTCATAGTAGCTGCCAAAAGTGTGTTTTTATAAACCTGGGGTTCTAGAGTGCTGGCTTCCTGGGGCAGAGGAGAGAAAGAAATGCGTGTTGTACAAAATAAGTACGTTCATATGTTTAATAAAATAGTTCTGTTATTGAAGTAACTTGTAAAAATGTTATTTCTTTATGCTGCAATAATTAATACTTTTATCATTTCAACTAATTCTTAGATAAGTTAATGAGGTGTAACATGCAAATAAAAGTTCTATAACTGCTTTAACTGTGTTTCTAAATGACGTCTACCAGCAGCTGTGTGAAGGAGGCCCACCCCCCTTGGTTTCTGACAGTGAACAACAATGTGGTTGCTCTCTGTGCTTACAGGATACATCCCACCTGCGGAGCTGTGCAGATGCTTACAAGTCAGTCAAGCAGTGTGTTTATTTGCAAGTGTGTCCATTCTTGTTTCCTAAAAGAACAATGGCTAAAAACAGGTTTAAAAAAATGTATTCATTTGAATATGGAATGCATGATAGGATACTTTCACGGGTAGTGGACTTCTCTTTCTAGTTACCATGTTGACGCCCTCAAATGGGCAAGGGGACAAGAGCAGTGTTTCGGGTTTTTTTTTCTTCTTTTGACTTTGAATTTGACTTAGCAGTCAAGAACTGCTTGCTCATTAACTCAGTGAGTTCACTACCTACTGTGTCAGCCCATTTGCCAGCTTCTAGGAGTATAAAGCAAGAGACTGGTGTCCCAGGTGTTGCTGACTCCACATTCCCAGTAACACAGAGTAGCTGCCCAGTGATAGAGTTCCCTGCCATCTTGGCATTGACATGATCTTACAGGAGTTCTGTGGTTCCCGAGCACCACAGAGGCCCTTGGGACTGAGCAGAGGCAGGCCACTCCTCAGCAGAATGAAACCCCAGCCTCTGTAGAGCTTCTACCTGCTCAGGCTGGGGGAACGTACACTTTTGGATGTTTGTGGTCACCTGGGATGTTGGGTATGCAGTGTTCTCTTGGCATACTGTTGAGACAGCAGAACAGTACTGTGACCCAAGTTCTCAGAAATCCCCAATGTCACGGCCAAGCCATGAGTCGCCTCCTCTCAGGAAGATCTTTCTAGGTGTACAGGTGGGAAATATTGAGAGAAATTCAAAACTCTTGATACATTTTTGAGCATGCACCCCCAAGTAACATTCCTTTATTTAACAGTTATTTACATGTTACTATGTTAGTTTGTTATGTATATTACAAAACATTCAAAAATTAGAAATGAAAAAGGATATTAAAAATAAATATGAAGGGATACTAATACAGTTAACCCTGAACATCACAGTGTGAATTGTGCAGGTCCACTTATACTCAAGATTTTTTTCAATAAGTACACACTTCACAATCCGCAGTTGGCTGAATCTGCATATACAGAGGACCAACTGTAAAGTTACATGTGGATTTTTGACTGTGTGGGGATCAGTGCGCTGACCCCCTTATTCCAGGATCAGCTGTAATTCTTCTGTTTCCCCGTCAGTCATCGTGTGTGCTCACTTTGGAGATCACTGCTGGGGGGTGGGGGGACTCTAACCTCATAATAATACTCTCCCCCCACCCAGTGGTTTATCGTGGAGGGAAAGGAGACGAGCACCCTGAGGGTGGTGTCTGCCTTTGGTCCATTCCCTGCCTGCCCCCGTTGCTCTGGTAAGACATTAACAATGTGGTTTTCAACCATGTTTTCCATTTAAGCCCAGCTTTCCCTGCTGGGAAATCACTGCCTTCTCCTCATGGTAGCATTTGGCCACTCAGAAATGCCCTTCTGAGGAAACTGGTGGTCCTCTCCTCTGCCTCCCTTCTGTGACCTCACTCAGTTTGGTGCCAAAACCCAGCGCAGACTTGACAGTGAAAGCTGCTGCCATTTTGCATGTGGTCCTGACCCTAGGGGTCCTGTGCCCGGGAGGAACTCTTCTTTGCTTACTGCTTTCCCAGAGTGCTCTGTTCCTCAGCGTCCGCTGTGTAGTAAGACTGTGTCTGCGGGGGAGGGTGTGGGAACTGCCGTGAAGACAAGGATGAGTGCTAGGTACTGGAGACTGGCCCAGCAGCAACAGTCACCGCACAGTGGTCACCTGGAGAGCTCCGTGCTGGGGTGTGGCTTGGGTCCAGAGAGCCGGAGGGATGGTGGTAGGCAAAGGAAGGACACTCAGGTGTAATGCCTAGAATCCAGGAGTGGAAACTGGACCCTCTATTCCGCTCCCACCTCAGCTGGAGACTCCTACCATCTATTTGTCCATCCTGTCCTCTGCTGACAATCCTGCCATTGTCTACCTCAGAGCTGAGAATTTAGATAGGGCTTGTAGAGTCTGGCACACAGATGCAACTTAATAAGTCATCATGATTATCATTTTTCCAGAAGCTCAGATGTAATTTTTATTCTCTGGTTTTAAAATAAAATAATACTGGATAGTCACCTCTAGCTGTTCATGTGCTGGGTGCCGCAGAGATGAGGAAGACAGTCCCAGTCCCTCGGGCTCAGAGCTGGGGATGGGGAGGGGGAGACGAGAGTGGAGAAGGGGTGGTACATGTTTTAAAAAAACTCCCACTGCAGCGTGTGATCAGGATTGAGTCCCCTTTACCAAGAGGCAGGAGGCACTGTGCTGCCAGCATCAAGGTGGGCAGTCTCTTGGATTCCTTTCTGCACTAACTAGTGGGACAGCTGGTATTGCAGATGCAGGATTGAGGAGAACCCAGTTGGCTACTTGATACCAAAGCTCTGAGGCTGAGAGCCGAATGCAGGATGCTGGGCCCAGAGAAGCCAGCTCTGGTGGCAGGAACCTGGACCTGAGGGGAGCAGGTGCAGGTTTCCAGTCAGTTCCCAGACGGCCATTCCTCATCCACAGTCTGATTTCTGAGAGGTCTTGTCCAAGGTCCTCTACAAGCCTCTAACTGTCAGCTGGTATCTCGGATTCCCTGAGAAGCAGCAGTTAGGACGTAAGGTTCCTTCAGGGCCTACAGGGTTTTCGAAAACTGCTCAAGTATTTCTTCGTAATCATGTTCATCATCTGCAAAAGAACCCCGGTAAGTAAGGATCTTCAGCCTTAGATTGCTTCCCCTCTTTAGGGCACTTCCACCCCCTGGAGAGGGGAGGGTTTGGTCTGGACGCTCTAAGGTCCTTGCCAGCCCAGAAGCCACAATTGGTTGTGTCTGCACACTTTGCCAACGTTCCCGTGCGCCTCAGGGAGGGTAGTTGGGGGATGAAGTCATTTTGCTTGCCAGGGCCCTGGAGCCCCTAGAAGGACAGTAAGGATCCTTCAGCCTAAGCTCACCCCATATAGGCCTGTGCATCCAACTAGGACTGCAGAAGGGTCTGGCCACAGGCAGGGCCCTGCTGAGGGTATGGCTGGTGCCATCAGAGGCACAGCAGCAGCAGAATGGTGTGGGGGAAGGGAGAAGCAAGGATTGGATGAACAGGGGCTGAGGGAACTCACCTGAATCTTCAGTGATGGGCACGGCAGGCCTGTGGCCCTTCTTGCGGCCAAGAACCTCACTGTATAAATTGGAGCTGTCCTGGGTGACCTTTGGCAAGGACTTCGTCCCGAGTTTAGGTAGCAGAGGTGGTTCCTGCAATTTGGAGACTTGAGAGGACTATGTGGGAGAAAAAGCAGAAGTCAGTGGGGTCTCAAAAAACAGGGTGGCAGAGTCCACGAAATACAATTTCCTCCAAATGTCACTTCCTCTGCTCCCCTCTGAACTTCCTTTTCAGAGTAGCACATCTCAGAACACCAGGAGTTTTTGCTACAAGCATTTGAAATGTTCTTTGGCAGGGGAAAAGGGGATCAGGATGAGGGATAACGGGATTGGGGGCCAGACAGGAAAATGTCCCTGCATTTTTCAACAGGGATTTAGTTATTGTCCTTCAGATCTGTCACCGAAGGAATAAAATGTAGTCACAAAGCCTCAGAATTAAGAGTGCAGGGCTGAGATGCGTCCCAGAGGAAGAAGACTTTTACTGAACTCCTGCCATGTGCCAAACACACAATGTGCCAAACACTGTATGCATGTCGGCTCATTTCATCCTCTGAGGAGCTGTTTGAGTTCCTAGTTTGTAGGTAAGGAACCAGGCTCAGTGAAAAATGTGCCACGTCACACCTCATGGGATCCCTCGCCAGGTCAAGCTTGGGACCCAGAACAGGTCTGTGACCTCTAAAAAGCTGCTGCTCGGGACATCCCTGGTGGTCCAGTGGTTAATAATACGCCTGCTAGTGCAGGGGGACACAGGTTCGATCCCTGGCCTGGGAGGATCCCACATGCCACGGGGCAACTATGCTTGTGCGTCACGACTGCTGAGTCTGCGCTCTAGAGCCCACGTGCCGCAACAAGACATGCCACTGCAACCACAATGAGAAGCAAGTACACCGCAACTCGAGAAAGCCAGCGCCCAGCAGTGAAGACCCAGCGCAGCCAGAAATAAACAGCAAAACTAAAGCCACTGCTTTTCCCGCCATGCTTTCAGGAGCAAACAGTACAGTTCCCTGGTGAGCAGCAGAGAACACTCGTGCCCAGGGAGGGAGACTTGCTGGTTCTAGGACAACAAGCAGGAAACGGGCCCAAAGAAACCAAGGCTGGGGCGGAGGTCTCAGCCCTGTACCGCATTCTTTCCAACACTGTCACAGGCCTGTGTTTCAGATGTCCTAGTCTATTCTTGATTCTTGTCAGAAAACAACTACCCTACCCACTGCCCACAGATATGAGCCCCTTCTGGGGCTGAGATGGCTCGGGGTCACCTTTTAATTTCCATCACCATCCCACTGCTTCCCTACACAGTACGAAATACAAGTCTCGCCACATCCCCAAACAATAGGCTTGTTAACAGTTTACAAAGCGCGTTTTATATATATCATTCTCCCCTCCGCCCCAGCACGCCTTAAGCATGGCGGGAAGGTGCTCAAGCCACGTGGTCAGACCCAGTTTCAACCTGCCACCTGCCACCTGCCAGCTCTGTGTGTGTCTGTGTGTATGTGCTTAGTCGCTCAGTTGTGTCCAACTCTTTGTGACCCTTTGGGCTGGAGCCCTCCAGGTTCCTCTGTCCATGGGATTCTTCAGGCAAGAATACTGAAGTGAGTTGCCATACCCTCCTCCAGGGGACCTCCCCAACCCAGGGATCAAACCAGAGTGTCCTGTCTCCTGCATTGCAGGTGGGTTCCTTACCTGCTGAGTCATTGGAGAAGCTCTAACTATGATCTGAGGTCAACTCCTCTGTGCCTCTTGCTTTCTCAACCGTAAAAAGAACTGCCAATGCCCACCTCAGAGGGAGGTCGTGAGGGCTGTGGGGGTGCTGCATATAAGGTGCCTGCCCCAGAGTAAGCACCCAACGAGTGAAAGTGAAAGTTGCTCGATGGTGTCTGACTCTTTGTGACCCCATGGACTATACAGTCCATGGAATTCTCCAGGCCAGAATACTGGAGTGAGTAGCCTATCCCTTCTCCAGCAGATCTTCCCGATCCAGAAATCAAACCGGCGTCTTCTGCATTGCAGGCGGGTTCTTTACCAACTGAGGCGAATAAAACCGCACTAAGATTTATCAACGTTATCTCAGGCTCACTGGTGAGGAAACGTGCCCAGAGAAGGGGTGCAGGCCACAGAGTGCGGAAGCTGGGATGTGAACCTGGTGTTTCTGACCCTGCAGTTCTTTCCCCCTTGTGATTCAAGCTGGTTCCGTTCAGACTCACTGGCAGTGAGTTTTTCTCACCTCCTCCGCCTGCCTTGGAGTCAGTGGAGCCTGCCCCACAGAACTCTTGTTCTAGCCCGAGAGACCAAATACAACTGATTAAAACTTCATGACTGGACGTCCCTGGTGGTCCAATGGTTAAGAATCAGCCTCCAACGCAGGGGACATGGCTTCAATCCCTGGTCCAGGAAGATTCCACAAACTGTGAGACAGCTAAGCCCACACGCCTGGAGCCCATGCTCGGCAACAAGAGAAACCCACAAACCACAACTCAAGTAGCCCCTGCTCGCTGCAACTAGAGCGAGTGCGCACAGCAGTGAAGACCCAGCTCAACCAGAGAAAGAAAAATCGACAGGTGTAGCCCCACCTCCAGGCTACATACAGCATGCAGTGTGCATACAGATGAGGAAGGACTGTCACTGCCTTGGAAGAAATCTAAGTTGAGCCTTGCCCAGGAGTCTGAAAGGAGGAAGAACATTCCTGGCAAAAAGACTGGCTTGCGTCAAGTGCTGAGGCGGGAATCTTGGCATATTGAGGGCGCGTCAGGAGTTGGAGCATGGGCTGCTGACATGGAAAATCGGCCTGGGAAGGCGAGGCTGAAGTTAGCTCTAAAGGACCCTGGATACCATGTTAAGGGAGGCCATCACCCCCAGCAACGGGGAGCCACTGAAGGGTTCAGAAGATGGGGCTGAGGCCCCTCAGCGACCAGGAGAGATGTAGAAGGCCATTCCGATATCGGTGGGGAGGGGCTGAAGAGGCTGCTGTAACGGTTCGGGTGAAAAGTGCTGTAGCCTGAGGTGGGGAGTGACAGCAGGGTTAGCAGAGACACGAAGAGCCCCGTGAACCTGGAGTCACAACGCTATGCTCCAGTTCAGGGCCCCTGAGCTGTGTAACTTGGGGCGCATCTCAGAGTCTCTGAGACCTCATTTTCTCAACCGTAAAGTACGGATAATCACGCTGATGTCAGGATGGTCAGGATGGAATAGTAGGGACCAGGTGTGCACGTTTGTAAACCGCAGGTTCCCTACAACTGGAAGAGAAGTGCGACGCCAAAGAAAGAAGAGCAGGACTTGAATGATCCCAACAGAGGGCCCCTCCCTGCCCGCTGGGTTCTCTTGGTACCTTGACTCCTTTCTCCTTGCTCATCTGCTGCTTCTGCTCACTGAGGCCCTTACTCTTCGGAGGCCTGGGCGGGGGAGCTTGACTCTCAAAGGCCGGTAGCTTCCGCAGGCGATAGTAGAAGGCCTCCGTCAGCTCCTCCACTGTGGCCGTGGGGAGGGGCCCAGAAGGCTGGCCCGGCAGCTCCTCGACCTCTGCGACAGTCAGATCCAGCCACCGGGGAGGGATCTCGAAGCACACCTCAGGGTCGGAGTCCAGGCTGACCACCAAGAAGGGTTCCAGGATCTTCTCTTCCAGCTGCAGGCCCGGGAAGGAGGGCAGAGGGTCGGCGGGGTGCCTGGGGTCCTTGGCCACCACCTTGACCTCACAGGGCAGTGAGAACTGGGCAGTCAGGTCCTGCAGGCTGTAGCGCCGGGCATCGCTCAGCTCCTCCACAAAGCCACCAGAGAAGTAGAGGGGCAGCAGAATCTGTTCTTGGTCCTCCACCTCTTCATCCTCCCCAGACTGCTCACCTAGCCGCTGACACACCAAGACATCTATGTCCTTCTCATGTTGCCCAAGGGCCTGGCCAGACCCCAGCACCTCCAGCCTGTCACCCACAGCCAGGGACGCAAACCCCAGGTTCTCCAGCTCATCTCCCTCACAGTCCTTTGTGGTCACGACCCGGAGTGGCTGGCCCGGCTGGGAAGCTCCCAGCAGGTCATAGGCCGTGGGGAACTCTCTCGGCCGCCGCCGCAGCTTGCCCCGGTAGGCGCCGGAGATCATGAAGTGTCTGGGCACCTTCCGGCCCCTGGTCGAGGCCAAGAACCGCCAGGGCGGCGAAGCCACGCCATGGAGGCAGAGCCTCTGGCCCTTCTGTAAGGAGTTCAGCCACGGGCTGAGGAAGCTGGGGGACCCCTCCGGAACTTCCAGGATCTCTGTAGCCAGGGGGAAGGGGCCTCCCCGGGCCAGGGCCTCGCTCAGCAGCAGCGGCTGTATGAAGTGAATGTGCTGCGAGGAGGCGGTGACATCCTCCACGTCGACCTCCAGGGTGGAGGGGATCTTGACGATGGTCCTGCGCACTGTGGAGGGGAGAGGTTAGCCCGGGCCCGCGCCCTCCTCCCCTCAGAGGTCTGGGACTGCTGACCTCCTGCCTGTCTCCATCTTTTCCTTCCTACCAGCATTTTCCTATTGTGCCAGCTTCCTCGCCCACTCCTTTCCTTCTACCTCTTTTTAAAAAGTTATTATAGGGACTTCCCTGGTGGTCCAGTGGTTAAGACTTCACCTTCCAATATAGGGGGGTGTGTGTTTAACCCATGGTCGGGGAACTAAGACCCCTACATGCGTGCCTAGTGGCCAAAAAAACCAAAACATAAAGCAGAAGCAATACTGTAACCAATTCAATAAAGACTTTAAAAATGATCTACATTTAAAAAAAACTCTTTAAAAATTAAAAAAAAAGTTATTATAGAAAGTTTTAAATGTTTACAAAAGTAGAATAAGTATTGTGAACCCTTATGTACCTGTCATCCAGCTTCAACATTTAAACCATCTTCTTTCATTTATACCCCCATCTATCCATTCCCCCTCCACTGGGTTACTTTGAATCAGAATAATCATATCTTGCCATCTGTGACCATTTCAGTGTGTATTGCTAAAAGAAGAAATAATTAAAATTTTAATAACAACTAGGTAATGATCACATTGAAATAATAATTTGGTAAGTCCTTTTAATATCACTGAATATCCAGTCAGTTTACTTTTAAAATTTTAATTGAGTTTTGAATATAATTGTATAAACTGTCTTTCCAAATCCTTTCTGGATTTGAACAGATAAAGTCAAATCAAGAAAAACACTGACTACATGACTTTGGACAACGTCCTGCCCTGGTGTTGAAAGTGCCAAGTGCATTAAACTCTAAGAGAACGAGGAAAACTGGCCTACCCACTGTGCTGGGTGAGTCGCACCACACGGAGGTTGGAACAGGGAATGTTCCCATTTTGCAGATGAGAACACTGAGACCCCGAGGAGTGGTGATGACTTCCCTCAGGTCACAGGTTGGGAATTTTGCTCTGTGCCAGACGAGCTGATAACTGGTTGAAGCTGGGAGATGGGCACATGCAGGCTCATTATATTGTTTTTGGTTTGTTTTTTTTTCCTTTAGAATGTTTTCTAGATTACCTGAGCTGCCTCATTCTCCAGGGCAGCCAACTTGTTATTAAAAAAAAAAAAAACTAGTAAACAAAGCATAGGTTCTTTAAGACAGTCCTCAGTGAGGCTTCTGGTAGCATCCAAAGCAGGGTTGATGAGGCAGAGGTCTGGCCAGTTGGAGGCCAAGCCTGACTGGAGGTAGAAGAACGGGGTGGGGGTGCCCTGGGAACCTCGACAGCTACACCAATCCTTCTACCTCTGCTCCAGCGTGGCCGCCAACAGGCCAGACCTGGCAGGTTCTGCCTCTGTTTCACCAACGCTCTGTGTGCGGCCACCAGCCCGCCTAAGAAGTGACCTAAGAAACAGCCGGGGGACTCAGCCAGACAGTGCCTTTTCCCAGACTGGAGGCCCTTCACCAACAATCCTGCCCTCCCCAGGAACAGGAAAATACATTTCTCCAGAGCAAAGGCTCAAGGTTTCACTTTGTAACACTCTGTTTCTTTGTCCTAGCAGTGGACAAGCTCACAACCCAACTTCTGCCCAATTTTATAAACTATATGGGATCTCACCTAAGTTACCCTGTTTTCCTATCTCCTTTTGCACCCAACTTCCACTGCTGGGGAATCTTTACTCTGTTACATTGTATATACCAGGTAAACCACCCAGAATCCCTGGTCTATCCACAGGGAGCGGGGCATTGTCCATCAGAGCAGCTCCCCTGGGACCTCTCTGTCCCTCCCGCCTCCCACCCCCATCCTCCTGCCCCGGGAACTCACAGTGCATGATGGCTTCGACCTCATACTGGGGCATCAAGGTCAGGGAGCGCCAGGGGAAGGCGGAGCAGGTGAGGAGGGCGTCCTTTAGGGCGGGGTCCTGCAGCACCTGGAGCAGGGTCCGAGGGGGCCCGGGCTCCAGTTTCCAGAAGGGCCCCTTCTGGGACAAGGGCAGGTGCAGAAGGACCTGCTGGGCCCCGGAGTCCAGCACACAGCGGGCACAGCAGGTCCCCTTGTGCATCTCCACAGCCTCCAGCTTGAGGGGCTGCTCTTCAGGCACCACCCTGGCCTTGGTGGTGATTCTGTGGGTCGACATGAAGTGGATGGGCAGTAGCTTGGAGCTCTGGGTTGCAGCATAGACCAGCTCCTCCAGGGTTCCATAGCTCTGGGGGCCAGTGAGGGAGCTGAAGTGGCCTGTGGGGGCACAGCAGGGGCTGTCAGGGTGGGGCAGGCTTTTGCTCAGCCTAGGGCCGTGAACCCCACACCCAGCTCTGGCTGCAGAGAACCAGGCAGAATCCCGAGGACAGGGGTCAAAGGTGGGCCAGCGTTGGCATATCCGGGCTGCAGGGCTGAGGGACTAGAGGCAGCAAGTGACCGTATCGAGTGGACAGCGAGGGGCAGGGCTGGGGACGGCTCCTTCCGACACAGACACAGAGGGACTGTCAGCAGAGACAGAACAGGACAGACACACTGACTGCCACATTCTCCCGGCTCCCAGCCCCTCCTGCCCCTGACGTTTTCCATCTTTGCCCCCAGATACCTCAGCACTGCTCTGTTTCCACACACTAGCTCCCATCACCCTGTCCTGGGTGGGTGAGCACCACTGTCCTTCCCAAACTAGAAACCCAAGAGCTATTGGCCAAATGATCCCTGACCTCCCTTTTCCCCTTCCACCCCCGCCCCCTGCCCTGTCCATTCTTCTGCCACCAGACTGGCCTAAGATACCCCATGTCCGGAGGTAATATCACTTCTTGCGTTTTCCTGCCCCAAACCCTCCACACAAATCTATTCAAGGAAACAGCACACAAACTCGGTCTGAAGGATATTCTGCAAAAGTATTGATCTGGACTCTTCAAAAAACACTGATATCAAGGCAAAGGCAGGCGGAGGAACTATTTCAGCCTGAAGGAGGCCAAACTGAATGTCACGTGTGATCTGGGGCTGGATTCTGAATCAAGGCAAACACTAGGCTATCAAGGATATTATAGGGTAGCTGGTGAAATTTGAATACAGACTGTGGATTAAACAGTAGTATTGTATCAATACTAGATTTTCTGAATTTAATCACTGAACTATAGCTTTGTGAGTGAACGCCTTTGTTTTCTAAGAGATACACTCAATATTAGGAGTAATATTTAGATGTAATGGGGCATCATGTCTGTAACTTACTCTCAAATGGTTCAGAGATAACCACACACACACACAGATAAAAAGATTACATATATACACACATATAATAGTAATATATGTTCATATGTATGTATATGTATATATAATATACACAGAGAGAAAACAAATGTAACAAAATGCTTAATAATTGGTGAATCTGGATAAACAGTATATAGGAATTCTAGAAAGTCTTCTGTAAGTCTGAAATTATTTCAAGTTTTTAAAAAATCCTCAAAATAGAAAACAAAACACATCACTTCCCTTTTTAAAACCCTCTCTGGCTACTTAATAGCTTCAAAATAAAGACTGAAATGGATCAGTGCCCCACACAAGCCCGCCTCAGTGGTCTGGCTTCCACTCACCTCCCCACCTCTTGCTCCTCACCTGGAACCCATGCCCTCACCAGGCCCCTTACAGACCTGATGCCCTGTTATATTTAAATATTACTCCTAATATTTGGTGCATGTCCTAAAAAACAAAAACATTCACTCACAAAACTGTACTTCGGTGATTAAACTCAGGAAACCATACTGAAAAGAAGCCCCCCGAGGGTGCCTGCTCTAAGCCCGGCCCTGTTCTGAGCGCATCATACGTGGCAACTCATTCAATGCTCACATCAAACCTTGTTGCTGTTCATCGCTCAGTCGGGTCTGACTCTTTGTGGCCCCGGGGACTGCAGCACGCCAGGCTTCCCTGTCCTTCACTATCTCCCGGAGTTGGCTCAAACTCGTGTCCATTGAGTAGGTGATGCCATCAAGCCTGACTGCCTCATTACAGAAAATGGAGCTGAGGCAAAGAGACCATGGGAACTCACCACGGCCACAGCTAGTAGCCGGCAGACCTGGGAATTCCCATCCAGGCTGCAGGTTTTAGCGTCTGGGCCTGCAGACCGCTGCACACCTACTGCAGTGACTGTGCTTTGTACACATGCCACTCCCTCTAGCTGGGATCCTTCCTCCAGCTCAGGTGCTACCTCCCTCAGGAAGCCCGCACAGACCTCTGAGGCAGGCCCCTCGTGCCCAGAGCCCTCTTAAAGGGTGCCTACCGCTGCTGTCCTCCTCCTGCCATCCTGGAAGCTCCCCACCAGAGGAGGCTGCATCTGATTCATCCTGAGCGCACACCCCCCCAGCCCCTAGCACAAGGCCTGGTGCGCAGCAAGGGTCAATAAATGTTTGGTGAGTGAATGTGGGGACGAAGACAAAAACAGGCACGTGGACAAAGACACAAAATAGGAAAAGTCTCCGCCAAGAGGCAGACGTCATCAGAGATGGACAAGGAGAGCACACAGCCATGTCAGCTCGGGGCACCGTCAGAGCGCTCAGGGGTCACCTGCGCCTTGGGGATAGGTGGCGGTGGATGTGAGAGGGCCGTGGGGGCCAACCCAGAGGGCTGGGGGTTTGTGCAGGGGGTCCAGTGGGTCTGAGAGTGTGCCTGGAGGGTTCTGAGGCACTCAGGGAGGCAAAAGTGCCCGCCTTACCCTGGAAGTTGGGAGCGAGCTCGGTGGTCTGGCCTGTCCCTGGGTTCTCACAAACCACCTTTTGGAGGCGAACATGGGTGACCTTGATCAAGTCTCCTGTGGAGAGGCAGCACTCGTTCCCAGAGATCTCGTAGATGGAGCCTGCAGAGACACAGACTCGGTTTCGCCCATTCAGTGAATGCCAGTCACTGGGGGCCAGGGCTCTGTTCCCCCAAGTCGCCGCTCACCACACCTTTGCCCGCACTGTTCCCACCACCAGGAATGCCCTTCCCTGTCTTCCCTGCCCAGCACCCACTGGCTCCTCTGTCCTCAGGCAGCATCAATGTCACTTTGCCTGCTTTTAGCGCTGACCATACCCCTCTGTGGTCACAGCCCCCAGCCTCCGGAACTTAACTCATACAACAGGACTGATCCAGCTCACCCAGCACAGGCTCAGCCTCAAAGAGGGTGTTTTAAGTCACAAGTGAATAAACCACCCAGTAAATCCCAATTCCCTTATTGCGTGCTAAGTCGCTTCAGTCGTGTCCAACCCTTTGGGACCCTATGGACTGTTAGCCTGCCGGGCTCCTCCGTCCATGAGATTCTCCAGGCAAGAAACCTGGAGTGGGTTGCCATGCCCTCCTCCAGGGGATCTTCCCCACCCAGGGATCGAGCTCAGGTCTCCTGCATTGCAGGTGGATTCTTTACTATCTGAGCCACTGGAGAAGCCCAATTCCCTTATTAGACAGTTGCAAAGTCAAGCCCAGAGAGGCTCTGAGATCACACAGAGCCAAACACCCACACTGGCACTTTCTTCTTCAAATGACTTGTTTTTAAAGGAAGCACAGGAGAGAATGGCAGGCCACTGAGAGGGTGGGCCCTGTAGGCAGGGTTCCGGGCCCCCACTTTCAAGCACAGTAACCCCACGTTTCCTGGTTTCAAGAGCTTAAAGCAGCATCCAGAACATGGAAGGTGCTCGATAAAGATCTCTCCACTCAGGCAGTGCGTAGGCCCCCACCCCGCCATCCTGCTGAACAAAGGACAGACATTGCAGGTGGGCAAACCTCGAGGCCACTTGACTCTACCTCACACCGAGGGCAGCCCCAGCAGGGCCCGAAAAACTGATGAAAACCCCATCCCTTACCCCCAGGAAAATACACTCAGGCTCCAACACACAGTTTAGGCTCCAGACCCTCAGGGCTGGTAAGAACAGCAGCCCTGGTGCTGGGGATGGACTCGATGCCCACCGCTGTGCCCAGTTCTGCAGGGGTATCACCGCGCTCAAGACTCATGACTATCCTTGGAGGGAAGGACTTTTTGTTCCTATATAAGGACTTGGCAAGGATGAATGGGCGGGCAGCCCAAGATGATCAGGTAATAAAAGGCATTACCAGGACTCGGGCCCGGATGTCTGCCTCCAATCTGGGGCTCCGAACCACGCAGCAATCAGAGCCACCTGTCCCACAAGGATCACCACTGGCCCTTCTCCAGCTCACCCCCACCCCCACGCAGTCACCTTGTCAGGTTCTCTTCTCCTTACTTCCTCCACTTCCCTTCTCCCGGGGTGGGGGTGGGGAGAAGAATGAGGAAACAAATATTGTGACACAGTGCGGGGTGGGGCGGGGGGAGTCAGGAGGAGAGCAAACAGCACAGATGCCTGCAGAAAGCTCCCAGAGACAGGAAGAGTGAGATTTGAACCCAGATCCCTCAAGTGGGATTCCCAAGCGGGCCTGGCAGGGCCCCATGGCCTGGTGGCGGGTCCCGCCGCCGGTGGCCCTGCAGGTGTCTCAGCCTTGATCTGTGACCCCACTTGGAGCCTCAGAACGCTTTCCTGTGTGGAGCAAGGGAGCAGGTGGAGGGAACAGGATGGGTCAGGGCACTCAGGCGGAGTTTGCTCTCGAAGGAAGGAACCTTCTCCACCCCACCCAGACTCTCGCTTCCCTCTCTCCTCCGCCTCCTCCTTCCCCACTCAGCCGCCCACAGTTCCTCCCGCCCGCCCCCGCTCAGAGCTGCCGCCTCTCCCTTCACCTTCACGGCCTGTCAATTCTTCCCCTCTAGATCTTTCAGGCAAAGACTACTGACGAAGCCCCAGCTGTGCGCCACCCCTGTGAACCAGGCGGGCTGCGGCCAGGTGGGCAGATGTGCGGGCGTGCAAGGAGCCAGGAGGGCTTCTCGGAGGAGGAGTCGTTTTAGCTGCGAACCGAAGAGCTGGTCGAATCAAGTACTGCCCAATGCCGAGCAGAGGGGCGAAGGCGGGTTTGGAGGGACGGAAGAATAGGACACGTAGACAGGTGTCAAGGTGGGGCAGCGGAGGGTACACGGAGGGGAGGGCTGACCTGGCTCTTCAGAATCATCAAGCAACAGCTCCCCGTCGCGAGCGCCTGAGTGCCGAGACCGCGCAGGGTCCGACCTCCTGCAATGCGCCCGACGGTTCCAGCCCAGCTTGGCTCGGTTCCACCCACCTGAGTATCTGAGCTCAGTGACTTCCCATCGCCACCCTGCCGGGCAATCAGCGACCACCCCCCTCCCACCAATTCCACGGAGACCAAAGTCGTGGCCCGGAGAAGCTGGAGAGTGGCCCCAATCACACAGCTTGGGTAGCGGCAGCGTCGGATTCGAACCCCGGGGCGCAGGCCCCGGGTTTCCAACGTCCGGGTCGGGGGAAGCCGGTCCGCGGCGAGGCCGTGGGGTCGGAGGGGTCTCGGCCCTTCACTCACCCTGGAAGTAGACCCCCGAGCAGACCCGCAGCACACGCGGGAGGGAGGCGGGGTCCAGGGCGCACACGAAGTCCTGCAGCGACACCGGCTCCATGGCCCGTTCGGCTCGCTTGAAGCGGACTGAACTGCCTGCGCGCGGTCCAGCCCGGGCCGGCCCAGCCGGGCAAGGTTGGTCTGAGGCCCCGCCCAGGGGCGTTCCAGGACACCCACCCTCCCCTGCCGGCCCTAGTTCCCGCGTCTCTACACGGGGGTTGCAGTACCCACCTCTCACACTCGTGGCGCTATTGTAGAAAGTCAAGACCAGGACCTGACACCGGGGAGTTCAGTTTCAGTTCAGTAGCTCAGTCGGGTCTGTTTGCGACCCCATGGGCTGCAGCACGCCAGGCTTCCCTGTCCATCACCTACCCCCCGAGCTTATTCAAACTCATGTCCATCGCGTCCGTGATGCTATCCAACCATCTCATCCTCTGTCGTCCCCTTCTCCTCCCACCTTCAATCTTACCCAGCATCATGGTCTGTGCAAATGAGTCAGTTCTTCCCATCAGGCGGCCAAAGTATTGGAGTTTCAGCTTCAACATCAGTCCTTCCGATGAATATTCAGGACTGATTTGCTTTAGGATGCAGTGGTTGGATCTCCTTGCAGTCCAAGGGACTCTCAAAAGTCTTCTCCAACACCACAGTTCAAAAGTATCAATTCTTCCGTGCTCAGATTTCTTTATAGTCCACCTCTCACATCCATACATGACTACTGGAAAAACGATAGCTTTGACTAGAGGGGCTTTTGTCAGTAAAATAACATCTCTGCTTTTTAATATGCTGTCTAGGTTGGTCATAGCTTTTCTTCCAAGGAGCAAGCATCTTTTAATTTTATGACTGCAGTCACCATCTGCAGTGATTTTGGAGCCCTCAGAAATAAAGTCTGTCACTGTTTCCATTGTTTCCCCATCTATTTGCCATGAAGTGATGGGACTAGATGCCATGATCTTAGTTTTCTGAATGTTGAGTTTTAAGCCAGCTTTTTCACTCTCCTCTTTCACTTTCATCAAGAGGCTCTTTAGTTCTTCTTCACTTTCTGCCATAAGGGTGGTGTCATCTGCATATCAGGTTATTGATATTTCTCCTGGCAATCTTGATTCCAGTTTGTGCTTCCTCCAGCCCAGCGTTTCTCATGATGTACTCTGCATATAAGTTAAATAAGTAGGGTGACAATATACAGCCTTGACGTACTCCTTTCCCGATTTGGAACCAGTCTTTTCTTCCATGTCCAATTCTAACTGTTGCTTCTTGACCTGCATACAGATTTCTCAGAAGGCAGGTCAGGTGGTCTGGTATTCCATCTCTAAAAATTTTTCAGAGTTTGTTGTGGTCCACACAAAGGCTTTGGCATAGTCAATAAAGCAGAAGTAGATGTTTTTCTGGAACTCTCTTGCTTTTTCGATGATTCAGCAGATGTTGGCAATTTGATCTCTGGTTCCTCTGCCTTTTCTAAATCCAGCTTGAATATCTGGAAGTTTACGGTTCATGCTTTGTCAAAGCCTGGCTTGGAGAATTTTGAGCGTTACTTTGCTAGTGTGTGAGATGAGTGCAATTGTGCAGTAGTTTAAACATTCTTTGGCATTGCCTTTCTTTGGGACTGGAAGGGAAACTGACCTTTTCCAGTTCTGTGGTCACTGCTGAGTTTTCCAGATTTGCTGGCATATTGAGTGCAGCACTTTCACAGCATCATCTTTTAGGATTTGAAATAGCTCAACTGGAATTCCATCACCTCCTCTAGCTTTGTTCGCAGTGATGCTTCCTAAGGCCCACTTGACTTCACATTCCAGGATGTCTGGCTCTAGGTGAGTGATCATACCATCATGGTTATCTGGGTCACGAAGATCTTTTTTGTATAGTTTTTCTGTGTATTCTTACCACTTCTTTTTATCTTCTTCTTCTGTTAGGTCCATACCATTTCTGTCCTTTATTGTGCTCATCTTTGCATGAAATGTTCCCTTGGTATCTCTGATTTTCTTGAAGAGATCTCTAGTTTTTCCTATTCTATTATTTTCCTCTATTTCTTTGCATTGATCACTGAGGAAGGCTTTCTTATCTCTCCTTGCTATTCTTTGGAACTCTGCATTCAAATGGGTATATCTTTCCTTTTCTCTTTTGCCTTTAGCTTCTCTTCTTTTCTCAGCTGTTTGTAAGGCTTTGTCAGACAACCATTTTGCTTTTTGCCTTTCTTTTTCTTGGGGATGGTCTTGATCACTGTCTCCTGTACAATATCGTGAACCTCTGTCCCGGGAGGCTCTGAGTAAATAAAAACTGGTCCCCATGTGCCTAGGCATCAGTGATGTACTCTATCGTGGAGGGGGGAAGAGGATGAAGATGAAGGAGAAATCCCTTACTCCCCCATGCCCCCCATGCCCTCGTTATTCCACCACACCCACCCACATCCCCTGCCCTGGTCAATTAGAACTCCTGGTCCAGTTCTGAGTCTCACAGGAGGGACACAGCCCTGCCCTTTGGGTTTGAAGAGGAAGATAAAGCATCAGGTCTCCTAAATCCCTCTCAGGGACACTTCATGGTCCTCGACCGACAGGGAACTCATTAACTTTCCAGGATGCTCCTTCCCTCTGGACAATTCTCCTGAAAAATTCTTCCTTGGGCTAAAGAGAAATCTGCTTAGGACAGAGACCAACTATTTCTGGTGACTGCAGAGAGATGGATAAGGATTTTCCATCTCCCTGTCCCTCAGCAGTTAGACCAACTAAGGTTCAAATCCCAGCTCCTTCTGTTGCTTGTTATATAATTTTAGGCAAAGCACTTTGATGTTGAGTTTTCATTTCCTCACATGTAAAATAGAAGAAAGAACCTTTTCTGAGCTGGTTTCGAGAATTAAGTGAGATAATATAGATACTGTGCAAACTGCTTTATTTCAGTTTTTGTCACTATGAGAGTAACAGAAGACTTCTAATCAGAAATCATAACCAACGTTTAAAATAAAAATAAAAAGACATTTGACAAATAAAAAGAGGACATTCTTTTCTCACCACCCAAATATAACTAACATTTTGCAGTGTTCTTTCTACTCTTTATCCTGCTTGGGAATGTGCGTGGTGGTTTGTTTATTTGTTTTTTTTTTTTTTTCATTTATTTTTATTAGTTGGAGGCTAATTACTTTACATCATTGCAGTGGGTTTTGTCATACATTGAAATGAATTAGCCATGGATTTACATGTATTCCCCATCCCGGTCCCCCCTCCCACCTCCCTCTCCACCCGATCCCTCTGGGTCTTCCCAGTGCACCAGGCCCGAGCACTTGTCTCATGCACCCAACCTGGGCTGGTGATCTGTTTCACCCTAGATAATATACGTGTTTCGATGCTGTTCTCTTGAAACATCCCACCCTCGCCTTCTCCCAGAGTCCACAAGTCTGTTCTATACATCGGAGTCTCTTTTTCTGTTTTGCATATAGGGTTATCGTTACCATCTTTCTAAATTCCATATATATGTGTTAGTATACTGTAATGGTCTTTATCTTTCTGGCTTACTTCGCTCTGTATAATGGGCTCCAGTTTCATCCATCTCATTAGAACTGATTCAAATGAATTCTTTTTAATGGCTGAGTAATATTCCATGGTGTATATGTACCACAGTTTCCTCATCCATTCGTCTGCTGATGGGCATCTAGGTTGCTTCCATGTCCTGGCTATTATGAACAGTGCTGCGATGAACATTGGGGTGCACGTGTCTCTTTCAGATCTGGTTTCCTTGGTGTGTATGCCCAGAAGTGGGATTGCTGGGTCATATGGCAGTTCTATTTCCAGCTTTTTAAGAAATCTCCACACTGTTTTCCATAGTGGCTGTACTAATTTGCATTCCCACCAACAGTGTAAGAGGGTTCCCTTTTCTCCACACCCTCTCCAGCATTTATTGCTTGTAGACTTTTGGATAGCAGCCATCCTGACTGGCGTATAATGGTACCTCATTGTGGTTTTGATTTGCATTTCTCTGATGATGAGTGATGTTGAGCATCTTCTCATGTGTTTGTTAGCCATCTGTATGTCTTCCTTGGAGAAATGTCTGTTCAGTTCTTTGGCCCATTTTTTGATTGGGTCATTTATTTTTCTGGAGTTGAGCTGGAGGAGTTGCTTGTATATTTTTGAGATTAATCCTTTGTCTGTTGCTTCGTTTGCTATTATTTTCTCCCAATCTGAGGGCTGTCTTTTCACCTTGCTTATAGTTTCCTTTGTTGTGCAAAAGCTTTTAAGTTTCATTAGGTCCCATTTGTTTATTTTTGCTTTTATTTCTAAAATTCTGGGAGGTGGGTCATAGAGGATCCTGCTGTGATTTATGTCAGAGAGTGTTTTGCCTATGTTCTCCTCTAGGAGTTTTATAATTTCTGGTCTTACATTTAGATCTTTAATCCATTTTGAGTTTATTTTTGTGTATGGTGTTAGAAAGTGTTCTAGTTTCATTCTTTTACATGTGGTTGACCAGTTTTCCCAGCACCACTTGTTAAAGAGGTTGTCTTTTTTCCATTGTATATCCTTGCCTCCTTTGTCAAAGATAAGGTGACCATAGGTTCGTGGATTTATCTCTGGGCTTTCTATTCTGTTCCATTGATCTATATTTCTGTCTTTGTGCCAGTACCATACTGTCTTGATGACTGTGGCTTTGTAGTATAGTCTGAAGTCAGGCAGATTGATTCCTCCAGTTCCATTCTTCTTTCTCAGGATTACTTTGGCTATTCGAGGTTTTTTGTATTTCCATACAAATTGTGAAATTATTCGTTCTAGTTCTGTGAAAAATACCGTTGGTAGTTTGATAGGGATTGCATTGAATCTGTAGATTGCTTTGGGTAGTATAGCCATTTTGACAATATTGATTCTTCCAATCCATGAACACGGTATATTTCTCCATCTGTTTGTGTCCTCTTTGATTTCTTTCATCAGTGTTTTATAGTTTTCTATGTATAGGTCTTTTGTTTCTTTAGGTAGATATACTCCTAAGTATTTTATTCTTTTTGTTGCAATGGTGAATGGTATTGTTTCCTTAATTTCTCTTTCTGTTTTCTCATTGTTAGTGTATAGGAATGCAAGAGATTTCTGT